GTAGCTGGTACAGCCACGGCGCTGTGGCTGGACCGTGTCTGGTTTACAGGAGTTCCCCTTAAAGCTGCCCTACCGAGACGCGCTCTGTTGACTCCCCTCCCTCTCACCTCGTCTGAGTCACGTAGCACCCACCGTATGGACTGAAGTTGTCCCGAATTCATCTTCGCTAAGTTATTAGTTTATTTAGTACGTTTCGATCATTAATTCGCCTGCGTTTGTACTAATTCCTATTGTAAATGCATTCATGAAGTTTTTCTGAATTAGAAAATTAATTATTTCAAATTGATAATGAATACATTTTCCTTTCATCGTCATTTTTGTATTTTTATAATTTGCACTTGACAATTTCGTTGTGATTTATTTAGTGGCTGAAATGTTATAGATTTTCAATACATTTAGCTGAGTAAAACTCGGCTAGTCATTGTTTGAATATTAAATTGAAGGTACACAGGGAAACTTCGCCTAATTTTTTTTATTTGCTTCGTTGGCGAGACCGCTACGTACCAAACTATCGCGCAGAGCTGGGTTAGAACGTTAGCCTTGGTCGTCCGTCTCTGAGTAACATAGTTGGCTAGTACCTTTAGATGCACATTCCCCTTCCCTCTTTCTTTTATTTGTGCACTAGAATGCGCAACTAAGTTTGTTACCTGACTACTTGCGAATTTCAGTCATTGTTGAACTCTACACTTTGCATCTCTAGCTGCAGCTTCCAATAATTTTATAACAAGCCTACTCCGACTTTACGCATCAACAATTTGTAATTAAACTCTAAACTTTACCTTTCTTTAATTTGCTTCCGAAGTTGGGAATATCGTAAGGTTTCTCTTACTAACAGCAAAAAATTGTGGACTATTTTTGAAAGTCTTGTAAAATTTACTTTTTTGTCCCTTTCACAAAATGTTTTTCATTTAGTTTTTTGTCCACGTGTTATATGTGTTGCTGTTAAAACCTCACGAGGAAATTAGGTTTATTTTCTCTTCAATATTTACTTCAGCTTTTGAGGGCAAGTGCTCGTGCCAGCAATGTGAAGCAAGGCAAAAAATATCACCCTTCTTCAATACAGTTAACCGATGCCTTTCATGAAACTTGGAGCAATGATTTCCGTTATAGGTACTTGAAGCTATGGCTTCCGTGAAATTTGCTTTCATATCTATCAAATTTGAAAATTTTACAAGGTTAACATTGAGTATACCTGCCTTGCATTAAGTATGAATAAGGCATATTTGAGCATAGCTTTAATTATCACTGACTATTACAACTTTTAGCAGATAACTTCTAATCGTTTCGCACACTTTCCTCATGCGTTCTTGTCACTTTTCTGTAACGTTGCCAGGACTAGTCTCCTCGTCACACGCCTCAGGGCTTCTTGTCTCTACGTTTCCGCCACTCAAAGCGGCAAGTCAGATCAGCATGTGTCGTCAACTGAAGGAACACCAGCCTTGACTAGGCTTTGACTGAGCTGCATTCTTTCACTACCGCTCCGATACATGAAAATTCAGTTTTTTTATTCAATTCAACTGAAGTGTAACGTTATTCATTAGATTTTTGTGATTATTCCTGAGATATTTGTGTTCTCCTTCTCCTCGACCTTGTTTCCAGCTCATCCACAGTTAAAGTAAAATTGTAGCAAAACAAAAACTACACGTAACATCAAACAACACTTATTTTTACATGCGAGAGCTTGAGATTCAAATTACAACCCTATATATGTGTACCTACACAGCTACCTTCGTGTTTGCTCAAGAAGTGCTCTATTGTTGGAGAGTTGCTGTACAAGCTTTGTTTACCTCGTCAGACTTGGCTCTACCTTTTTCTCTACCACATTCTACCTCTAACTATACCACATTCAATTTTAATTATTCGCGCCACGCATAAAACAATTCTTGTTCACTTTTTTTGTTGTTAGGTACCGTACGCTTCATTTTATCAACACTTAGAATTAAATACGGATATTTAATCCAATAAGGATGGTACTTCATGTGTAATTCGAGCTATTGAATCTGTTGTGGATGTATAAAAAATTAATCAATAATCATTATTTAAGTCATTTTTCGAGAGTTGTGTTTCACGGGATTCAGTTTTGATTGTAGGCTTTAACTCAAAGTCATTAATTCTAAGGAGTCTACAGCTGTGTCTCGACCTTGATATTTGCCGTTTGACGACTCCGCTAGTGTAACGTCTCGGTCAGGAAAGACCAGTCATGCATGGTATGCGCATTGCTCACGTCAATTAGTGCTCTGACATGAGAAGTCATATAAATCCTCTAAATAGTTGAAAGACTGCAGGCGGCAAATGATGTATTGTAGATAATGTACAGTTATTCTGACGCCTATCCTTCATTTTGTCACCCAATCTACAATTTGTGTACGATTTATTTATGATAAATAGTAACTTGTTTTGCTTGCAATCGCTGTGTCCATGAAATGGCTGTTCTCGAGGCCACTGATGATGTAAATATATTGCAAATCCAACCACCTTAACGGGTAATACTTTGCTTCAACAAAGATGGAGCTTTGACCTTTGTTGAGGTGTCTGATGAATGACGTCTTGTATTGCTCTTCCTATACCGCTATTCCACTTTTATGCAGTATTGGGAATTATTGTGTAAAGATTCACTATTCAAAATTAATTTTTTTATCGAAATATTGATTTGGTGGAATATCTTCTGAAAATCGAATGATGGATTGCTTAGGCTGCGTCGTTAATAATCTGTCATATTTCACCTTTAAAATTTATGATTTCTTTAATATTGCGATATTTATGTTTTTGAAGATAAAAACCTTAAATATTGATTGCATATTTTTTAATTCATGAACTTCCACTCCTGCCTCTCACGTTGACTGTCCAGCCTAGGACTCGTGTAGGTAATCTAACTGGTGGACAGTATTTATTAACCGACACTTGTTCAATATTTAAATTTAAAGGCTTTTGGAGCAGATGATTTTTCACTACTAAACGTAGACAGCATTGTGAGCAACACACGAGCCCGATTTTCCGATAATCGTCAAACGGTCAATGTCATAGTTTATTTCAAATCAATAGATACAACATTTCGCTATCTCAAAGCTACCGGAAACAGAAAAGATTGCCACGTTAATCAAGAGTTTTTATCCTCCACAATTAAAAAAAATTTTCGTAAATTCTAACAATTTAGTTACGGAGGAGTTTTACCGATAGTTATGTCTATATTAGATCGACCTCATTCAGAATGAGATAATGTTATCAAATTCGATCGTTATCGCTCGAGAGAGTTCAGCGAGGACTGGAGTCGATTGTATTGATTTGAAGTTTTTTTTACCAGCCTGCCACACCCCGTGTTTCATGGGCACCCTCCACCACAACCCACCCGACCCGTCGCCAGTGCTGGCGCTGTCAAGGGCATGCCAATGTTGTTTATGTTCATGCGATCCTACACATCACAGGAGTCTAGTGTGTGCGGTCTGGGCTGCTGACCTTTACACTTCAAGAGAGCATTGTTACTAAGCTCAGTGCTTTCAACGTAATTTCTTCGATTGCATCCATATATTGATTTCTATAAAATCTTGAATTGATGCATCAATTCCTCCATTATCTTATCAACATCAATTTATTTTCCCCTTGTTGTTTCGCTTTATAAAGTTAGGCGGTCGTGACATTTATGCAATTTTTCTCGTCTACAGACAGTAGCTCAAGTTAGCAGGCCTATAAATACGAAAATATTGCAAAGGGCAATGTATCTTTGGATAAAAGATTGAAACGCATGTAATAGCACCTCTTCAAATGAGCGAAATGGACCATCACCTGATATTACGTTTTTTAGCTTCATTTCGAACTATCGTTTGTGTACAAGCTGGTTTCGTACGTATGTGTGCATGATTTCTATGTGTGTATGATTAGTGCTAGCCACCAAAAAAACTATTTTCATTTCTTTCTCTTTACTTTCGAAAAAATATACCTACATAGCTTTTTGGAATTGGTACCAAACTTTGAAGCTTCTGCCATTGTACATGTTCAAAAATGTCAGGCTTTTTTTGAATTTTTTTAACTATCAAGCTAAATGATCCAAAATAAAAAAACATGTTGAAATAACATGGTAAATTACCACCTATGTTGAAATTGATTTTTAACAAAGTTTATGTAGGGCTTTAAGAATAGTTAAAAATTCTTTAGTTTATTTATTGTGCAAAGATGATAAAACTCAAGAATTTAGACAAAATTGCAATAATCACAAAATGGGCTTTCACACGAAGGAGATACGGTGGTCACTTCTGAGATTTCATATCATTGTGAAAGGATCTGAATGGCCAGAGAACAAGTTACAGGACTTAGTATATAAAGAAATTTTGCCTGTGCGGGTTTTTTGCAACTAAAATAGGCGTGGGTTGTTTTTTGAGGCTTGCACGATATATGTATGATATGAAATTATACCAAACCCTTCAGTCCTTATTTAAGACTTTGGACTCTGAACCACACAGCACTCACTGGCACCGTGATTCCAGAGTACCAACGATAATTTCTGCTATAAGAGTCACTGAACTCGGCCGTGTGTACTTCACTGAAAAAACTGGTTTTATACCATAGTATCGAATAATTTTGTAAAAAGCCATCAATTATACTTGTGCATGCTGTTTAGACTGCTTCAAAAACTGACCTATATTTCTCGACAAGGTATTATGAGCAAAATTTCGAAAAAAATTAGTTTGCGAAGCTTGTAATATGTTAGCTAAAATTAACTTCATTTCCTGTTATCTATGTTTGGCTGTTGATGTAAATCATGGTTATGACTTGATTTCCTGAAACTGTGTTTTACTTTACGTGTTGTAGACGGAGTACTACACAGTAAATGGGCATCCATCACTTGATACAGAAATCTTCAATTCTATCGTATAGTCTAACTAGACTCACTGCAGCCAACTTCTATGTTTTAACCTAGCCTCAAATCATTTCTTATTGTTTAATTTACAATACACTAGAAGCAGGTGTTAAAATTATTCGTAACTTGTTTGTTTTTTCTTCTGCAGGTGTTGTTAGTGTCGAGCAAGAACTCGAGCGAGGTGTGGCTGGTGCCTGGAGGTGGCCTGGAGGAGGGAGAAGATGCTCAGGAGGCCGCCCTCAGGGAGGCCTATGAAGAGGCGGGTGTCAGAGGCACGGTCCTCGCCTACCTGGGCCTCTTCGAGGTGAGGATTCTCCAGAGGCTGCTTTACACTTGCCATACGAGACTGACTTTATGTGTCAAACTCTAACATACATGAGAATATTTTGTTAGGTCGATCCTTCCATTACGTTAAACAAAACCGAATTTTAGAAGTTACCACTTTCTCTTTGTGCATAAATTGCTTGGTGATATTTATTTTTGAACTGCCTTTATCAAGGGACATGATTTCTAAGTTCTATAAGTTCAAACTAAGTGTATTTTTCACTGTGCAGTCTCGTTCGGAAATGAGCGCGTCTGGCAAGAAACACAGAACTGCTGTCTTTGTCATCAAAGTTATTTCAGAAGAGGACGACTTCCCAGAGTCCAAAACTCTCGGTGAGTGTATATTCCAACTCTGGCTCATCAATCATACAACAAATAATATCATTCTATCAATGTGTTTCGTCAGTGGCAGGATATTTCTGGTTAACTGACCTCCTATTTATTGCTGCTTGTTTACCTACTCTGCTGAGTCACTATGGAATAAGGATGTTGATAGGGCTATTCACGTACCGTGTTAGAGGAGAGTCTGTATCGCGGCTGCTTGCTTGTGTTTAGTCTAAAGCCCTATCTGCCCCAAACATTGTCATAACGTGCAAAAGTCGTCTTGACACTAGTGCCAAAACTGTCCTTGATGCTCGCAGCTTCAACGGCCGCCAGACTTGCGTAACTTTTGGCATGCAATCTCGTTTGGGCGGTCTTGCAACACCAACGCAGAATTGTTGCTTCTAGCGAGCCCTCTTGAGAGGTCTTTGATAATCACGGCTACCTTTATAGCATTGTTTTCGACAATGAGTTTCTTCAAAGGTCAAAAGATACATTCGAAACATTAAAGAAGGGGAACTTGAATTGCAAATTTACGTCCTGATTTAATTCAATTTAGTTTAGCATCCCTCATATCGCATACATCCTTACTTCTGTGACAAGCGTCGCTGAAAAATCTTCATACACCTGTGCTTTTCAATGTGATTCATCCAATGTGAAAATTCCTAGGTGGTGATACTGTATTTGGCTTCGAATCGTCAACGATTGACACTTCCCAACCTGTTAATGTTTTTTATCTTATTTTTTCTTAAAGTGGACGAATGCTTACGAATGCTCACAATAGTAGAGTACCATTCATTTGTCACTGCGTCGAAATTCGCTTTGCATTCAGTCGCATGAAATTCGTGATCTTTCCTATGATCATTCACATACCTATTGTTTGGCATTCACATTGTTTCTTCCTTGCTTGAATTGTTGTTCCCTTGCCAACTGTACCTCTGAGAATTTTTATAGGCTTCTTTGAATAGGATTCGTGCGTCCGATTATTACGCAGCGCATATTGTTTTATCCACCACTGATACTTATGCATCATTCTTGGGCTTTTTTTACTGGTGGCTTGGAATTTTATACTGCTTGTGTCAACATAATTCTCAAGCCACTATCTTAGGCGAATCTGGTGACACTTGCGTTCATTTATTTTCGGGCGACAAGTGGCGAAGTCTTGGCAAGTGCCGCTACTGCTAGAGTAAACTCGTGATCTTAGAGCGATTTACAATTGAAGTGAAGAACAGCAAAACATCTACAAGCAGAACTTTTTTCAATTCAGACAGCTAAAACGTATATGCTCCATAAAAAATATTCTATCAGAGAATATTTTATCAAATTTGAGGCATCTGCTGTTACTTAATGCGTTCATTCATAAATTTGCATGGTAACAATTTAAACGCGAGTTTGGGGTATTTTTGCGTGCACGGCAGCATTTGTATTTATCTTATTCGTTTTGAATTATCCCTGAAGTATCTAGTTCTTGGTTCTTTGACTAACAAGCTGTTTTTTTTCAGGTCGTCAACGCAAATGGATGAGCATTGACGACGCCCTGTCGCACTTGACGTGCTACCGTCCACGCCAGAGTGTTTACCTGAGCCTCCTGCGTGCAACGCGGCTCAAGGCTCGGACATCGGAGTCCAGTGACGAAAAATCTTCGGGTGGCGAGACAGCGCTGCAAACCATCGCCGACCGGCAGTACCGGACCGGCGAGCCGATCAAGCTACTCGAGCGAGAAGACAGTGAAGGCTCGGTTGAAACTGACGAGAATCTCGCAGTTTATGAGGATGCCAACGATGTAACGTTGCTTGTTGAGGATCCCGAAGATGAAAGCTATGTTCTAGCGAAGACTTTAGAGTCGCAAACTCTCATTGATTAAGTGCCTTGTGAGAAGTCGTTGACAGATTCTCATATTACTCATTACATAGAATTGATTGTCTTGTATCTTCATTATCAAACGAATCTCCTCTTACGCAAAACTGACTTTTTTCTGAATTGGAGAATTTACAAGCCTGGAAAATCTTACAAATTTTCCCCTGCGTAAAAAAATTGATGCTTCAATGTCGGGAACGTTCGACCAAAGATCAAGATACCAGTCGAAATCCCTGTGATCAGAGTACGGCTTCAAAAACTTTTTTTGACACGCCTCTGACGCCATAACCGACTACATTCAGTCGTTATAGTAAAAAAACATCATTGTCGGATGTTACAGCAGTGCTATAGTTGAAACTCAAACTCTTTAATGTTGCTCAAACTGTGTCTCTAGAAGTGTCAAATTACTAAGAAATGTTGCCGCTCTAAAAAAGCCTATGCTTACTTGAAAGAGCAGATTCAGGAGTTGCCTTTGTTCCTCGAGGTAACAATGCAGTGATTTTACGTAACTTGTATTAAAGATGATGGGAATCATTGGTGCCTCATTCCATGTTTATTAGACTTATTGGTAATTTATCGTGTACGATGTTCAGCTCATAGTTACGTAAGAGTATAGATCTGATTTTCGCTTACCTGTCGATACTGTGCTTTTAGTTTGGTTCTGAAATTGCACTGTTCAAAAACCTCAACCTTTATGTCCCTCTTATATAATAATTAAACGACCATTCAGATAAGTTGATCAATATCAAAAATTTTTGCTCCCATACGTAATTTCTGGCTTCGAATTGAAAACGTTTAATCTTCGCCGTGCTTTCAGATTCTTTACAATATTCACGTGTTTAATTTATCAATTTAAAATTTAATGGACAAACTTTTTTTTTCTTTTTCTAATTGTGAGGTTTCCTCTAAATTTCTTCTAGCAGGTTGTCATCATATATAACCACAAAGCGATTTTGGTTGATCTCGTTATAAATTTGAGTTGTTTCAGGGTTGCAACAAAAGTTGGATCTTCGTGCCTATAACTTCATACCTCATGGTACTAGTGTGTAGAATCATACATGAACCCTCGATTGAAAGTGTCATGTACCATCTGTGTGTGCTATTGTCTAGACTTTCGATTAAGTTTATAATTAGATTAATTTCTACAACTTGGAATTGAAATATCCAAAAAGAACATATATGCGCTGATGTGATGCGAGTGCATTTTGTTTTAATGTTTCCCCACTTCCACGCCATCGTGTTGGTGATGGAATTGTACTTGTATTCTGTTCTAGATCCTCCTTCATCTTCACTGTATCGTGATGGCTAGAAATAGAGGAATAATTTCTTCCCTTGTGAATAATTTCTGGAAACTTAACTTAAATCTATGTTCTCCTTTTTAGTTTTGTTCAGAATAATATATCTACTCTTTCACTGCTGCCTCTGATTGAGTGCATTTTACCTGTTGTGTTTTATGTTGAGGATGACCAAGCTCTCTAAACAGTAAATAACGGATGCCAAGGGTGATGCTACCCCACAAATCTGCAAGTGCCAAATATTTGTGCATGAAAAATAAAATTCAGCTCAAATTATGTTCTACTTTAATTTCTCTTTGTAGTGTTTGCTATTTCTAAGAGCTTCTTAAGATGTAATGTGGTCTTGAGCTAATCAAAAAGCTCTTGCAAATAAAGCAAGCCGTCATTGCATGGTGACTTCAGCTATATATTTTGTATGAACAAGTTCCTTTCAGTTTCATGAGGCTCCAAAGATCAATTGGTCTTCATTAAAGGAACTATTTTTCTACCTGGTTGTTTACTTGACCTTTCATAAGTTATAGAGGATGCTTGACCTTTCATAAGTTTATGTTCGCTTCTCGACACCTCGTCGGCCATTTCGGCCCTATCCTAACCTGATATTTTTAAAAGTAAATAAATTCATAGTAGTAGCATTGCCAGGGAAAATAATCCCTCGTAATAATTTAATTTCTCAATCATAAGCCCACTTGCGTTCCCCATTTCAATTTAATTTATTTCTCAGGTAGCTTTTGTGAACGCAAACTAAAGTAACTATATAAGAATAGTTATTAATACGAGTGTCCGAAATTCATCATCATTGATTTGAAGAAGTGGATATGGCATCTTACAATATAATTTTACTATCAAAAAATTTCATAAATGACATGAAAATTCGCCGTCTATCTGGCAAAATATCAAGATTTAATAGCTGTCCTCGAAGTTTTTTTTACTATTCGTGAAACTTCTCAAGACTCAAGAAACGTGCATTGATGAAATGGATAGTTAAATCCATTTTCGGCGTCTAGATTTCTAGAAGTCGCATCTGCCGAATAAATACGAAACTCGAGCTTTATAGAGCAGACACCATCACTTGATTGTTACGTCTATTTTATTTAATTTAAATTTATAATTCCATGATGCAATTGGTGAGTATTTGCAAGTAAATTATGTACAATTCAAAGTTAAAGGTGTTCTAAATTGTCTTTAATGAAGAGGTACCGGGTACTCGTTTTATTAAAGTCATGGGACAAAAGATGCACTCAAGACAAGCACTGTGGTCCGTCTGAGATCGTGAATGGGGCAAAAAAAATATATATATATATAACTCAGTACTCACTGCAGTGAGTGACAGAGCACGCATTTTCTCGTCGACGAAAACGTGGAGTCACGGACGGACGGACATGGCCAGCACAATAGTGCATTTTTTTCATAAATGAGAAAATGAAAAAGATCGTCGGAGATGATCTCAAATGTTTAATATTTGCATTATTATTACGAAAACGTATCAAACAATCTTGGCCATTGTTTAAATAATACTCTTTGGGCCTAATATCAACTTAAGCGGCAATTCCAAAATGTGCTGAGTATATTATTCAGCACCACGAGTCCTGCAAATATTCCTATGTATGATTGTAAGAAACGTCGTATGAATATCCGTTTGCTGTTGACGTGACTTCGAATTCGGAAGAAAAGAAACACGCATATTGGCAAACCGCTGCTCGGTAATCTGACAACTTCTCATGTCCGGGTGATGTGTCGCCTGCGTGCATGCACAGCTTGTGATTGAATCTTTTACTTTGCCTGCATAAACATCTTAACTTAACTCGACTAGGTAAGTCCCTACGGGTGTCAATTTTACAGCTCATTAAAAGCTACTTGAGCAGCGTTAAAAGCTGAAATTTATTTTCCTGAACGCAATCTTACCCTAAACTTTTTTCACAAGAATTTATGATACAGAGCGTAATCATGAGTGGTCAGTATAATATTGAACGGCGAACGCAAATATTGCTGTCTAGAGCATAAAAAATTTCCGATTCCGTCTCGAAAACAGATTACAAATGTAGCTCAAATGCGTAAAGTTTCTTTCTCAAGTCCGACAGATTATTTCGTTTTATCTGTACATCACAGTGAACTGCATGCATTGTTTTCCCGCTTCTTTCCATTCGAAATATATGAATGCTTAAACATCGCTGTTGCTGTGTAGTGTCGAGCTGCGCCAAGTCACACACACACACACTTACACAAGATAAGGAGATAAAAACAAAAAATATATTCAATCGGTTTTACCGAAGAAACTTTTTTTAATCCAACTGGGATCAGTAAAAAATGATTGCACAAAAAAAAATAAATGAAATTAAAATTATCTAGAACTGAATGTGTCGAAGCGTATGAATCAAGGATATATCCTAAGAGAGGTAAGGCTTCTACCATCGAATTGCAGAATTTCCGACGAGATTTAGAAGTTTTATATTCCCCATCTCCTGCTGGAATCTCATGAAATTAAAACTGAACTTTGCGCTGCCTATATTTCTCGAACGCCATGGTATCTTTGGCAAACAATTCCTACATGTATTTCCACACGAGAACATTGTTTCTCTTAAATTACGTTAATTTTTGAGTGATGGTATAATATAATCAGTAAGGAAAGTCCATTGACCTGGTAAAAGCATCGTAACATCTAGCATTATTTGTATAAATCCAAACTTTTACTACCAGGCGTCGCTAAAATGCCTGGCGATGCTCCAGTTGAACTGCAAACACTGAAAATTTATAGTTCGGTTTACCTTGTATTTGGTTCAATGACCTCGCAGTTGGATCCGACGCAATTTTTTCAATGAGCTAAGCGCTCGTATACTCTTTGAACTAGTTTTTTCTAAACATTTGCGATAGTTAAATACACTTGGGTCCTAATTGCGCACTATAGCGACATTTGCTGCATTGATTTAAGAAATGATCAAAAGAAGCCCGACCCTGCTTTGAAAAAAGTGATGTTCTTGCAGACGCATCGGCTAAAACTTTACAGAGGTTGGAGTCTGTGTTTTTTATATATTTTTTTATTTAGAATTAGATGAAGTCCTAAAAATTTCTTATGCCTTTTTAATAAACACTTTTCATTAAGGACCATTTGAGTATGGGCGGTACATTGATACTGAATTGTTTTATGTACCACTTTATGATGAACTGATGATAATTATATTCATAATTTGTTGTTGAATATGTTGAATAAAATCCCGAAATTACCTGTTTGATCATGCTTGCATTGACTGAAATGCTCAATATACAGGATTGAGTCCGGAAGTGAGGTCATTCCATGACTCTGTGACTATAAATATTAAGAAACGAATCACGTAACTTTAATGACGTAATTTTGATAACATTTACTGTGTATTTATAGGTTTCAAAGAACTAATCGATTATCAGAGCACGTGTTCAATAGGCTACCAGCTAGAGAACTTGACAGCGTATATGACTTCATGAATCCGGTTCCACTACGCGAGTTTGCTGGAAAAAGTTCTCAGTGCATTGTAGGAGCCCCGCAAAGGTGAGCTTAAATAGAGAGTAAATTCTTATTCGTGGATGAATATGTCATAAAAAGATCATAAATATTTTAAAAAATAACTAAGCCATTTCCCTTGGTCACATAAGGAGCAGCAAATTCCAAACTATTACTTCAATACTCTGTAGGAACTCGTAGCAATGTTCCTGTTGACTAGCCTGCCGTGAATCGTTAGAGTTTGTCCTTGAGAGTCACAGCCAAATGACATGCATCAATGGACCCGTGCGCCTTAAAAGTAATCTTCGAAAAATTCCCTAGTTTAGTAGGGTAAATGCAACAGTCAAAAAGTGAATTACCTACTTGAGATAATCTAACGACATTGGTCACCCAAGTGTAGTTATTTTTCATTCATAATTTAATGAGACAGGACACACAGTTTTGGTCTGTAATTGCGCTTCATACTTTTGCGGTATTTATTTCCTGCAATTCGGATTTTCTGAATATCATAGGAAACAGTAACAAATGAATTTATAGAAAGGGAAAAAGTACAATGATTCATTGGAATACAAATGAAAAATTATTTTATCCCGAGACTAGAACGAAACAAGAACTGCTTTAATTCGTCAGTTACGCTTTCCACTGCAAGATGAGCTCATCGTGTCATCTCGCAAAATTGACGAAAAATCATTAATACCGCTAAAAGTGTCATTAATATCACGTGGTCAGCTTTCTTTTGATCAAACGACGCATACGCGAGAGACTTGAAGTCAAGTGTGTCCTGTCACCTATTGTCCTGTTGTCCATCGAAGTATGATTCATAGCTGCACACTGCCAAGATTAGATCAAGAGTCGACACTTGCTCCTTCCATCTCACGCAAAACATCAAGTCACTCGAGAAGTCTTCAGCTTTCCAGACGACTGTTTTAAACGGACAAAATGCACTTTGCTGTCCATTTCGGACAGGGAATTCTAGAGGCTCAATCTCTCTAAAACATTTTTCAGTCTGAGACTCAACATCGCACGCCTGCCAGTCAATGAGCGGACATTGTGTCATCTCCTAGTAAAAATTGGCGGCCTTCTCGTGAATGACAACTGTCATTTGATGATTGCAATCCGGTATGAATAATAATTATTCGTGACTTCGGTACATTTCAACCTGTAATTCTCACTGCAGTCTATAAATATAAATAAACTTTCAGCACCTGCACGTGTCTAAAGAGGCTTTTTAATGTAAATCGCGAGCAAGCACAACTTTCCTAAGGGTATGCTAATTTATGCGACATGTTGTGGTTGCAGTCAGGCGCACGACTTTCCCTGAGTCTTCTATAGTCTTAATTTATTGCATAGCTCTTAGCACCTAATGAGAGATTAGCAGTGCCGTGAATTGTCGTTTGTCGATTGCCACCTTAAAGAGGATTTGTGATTTGCAACCTGGCTGCCGAACTTTCATCAAACTCTAGCGCTTTTTCTTGTTGTGTTTAGCAGAAACGATTCAAAATTGGAAGCGTATTCATAGTCGTCATTTTAGTAGCTTAAATTGCGTAAAGATAGACATGGCAATACGGGAGTGTGTCCCATTTAAAATTTATCAAGTAATAACTTTCATTGGTCTGAATTGTAATGAATGGTATCACGCTTGTAATATGAGTCGTTAAATAGATTATGCAGAAACAATATAAAAAATTATTTTACTAAAAATGTCTTCAAAATTGCATAAAATTGTCTTCCTGATAGCCATTATAATGGGTTGCATTTCCTAGAGTACATATATATATTTAAGTTATGCAAGTCTTTTCTATATATTTGTCGAAGTCATGTTCAGAAAGTCCACAGATAATTTTTATCAGAAAGTTCACAATATTTCTTATAAGGTGCAGCAAGGCCACTACCAACAACACATCAATCTAGGTTTGGGAACTAGCATCGCAGAGGGAGAGATCAAACCCCACCTCAAAACAGCAAAACCGTGTGTTTATGTTCTGATCAAGGATGTGCACAGATACTTTTTGCGGAAGCGGATGAGAACAGAAAGCCTATTTCTGCAGTCATCGCTTCGACACTCACGCCGAACAGAACGAGTTCCGGAGCCGTGAACGGCTCACTCGCTCACGAACCACCGTCGAGGCAGTAGCAGCGGTGTTACGGTCGCTCTCACCTAGGCTGCACCGACTGACGTACGCAATACGAGAATAATTACAGCCTCGTTATGTGTTTTTTGTGAACGAGAATGTGAAGAAGAACTTCAATTACTCATGAATGGTTCTTTAGTTAAGTGGAGGTTTGCGTCGACCTCAATACTCGTGGTAGCATTGACTGATGTAGAGGTCCATTCGACTACAATTTAACAGGTAATTTCACTGTCATATCGATACCATATTTTATCATGGTAAACTAGTCCAATATTTCGTGTCCAATTTTAATTATTAGGTTGATGTCGTGATTCTCGTAACGTCTACGATGTTTGAGTAATTCTGCGTGAACTTTTTATCATTATTTAAGATCAATGAACGTCAACCACCACGGTACCCTCATAGCCTACCACTAAATATTACTTAAAGAAAATCTGCATGCAGGATTTGAGAGAAGGAAAACATGAATTTTTAATTTAATAACTAGTATACAACTCTATTCAAAATTTATTTTCAAGCTTTAAATTTAAACTGAATTCCTCGTTTCGGACCTGTTGACAAATTTCGCGAATGCTCTAAAAATCCTCTAGACATTTGATGTTCTCGTGAGAACGGATGCTTTAAGTAACATAAACTCAACTAACTAATTTTGGGTAACATAAATTTTATAAAAATAATTTCAATTTGCTCAAGGAAGTCAATTTTTCATCATTATAATATCCGACTAAAACTACTAGTTCATTCATTGTTGTTGATTCATTCACCTATTAAAAGTTCTGGCTGCGATTACACAATAGCTGTGAAAGTTCCATTGAGAACATCCTCCTCTTGCTTCATTTATGCAAGAACAATCGTGGAACTTATCTGTCGCTCGCTTGATAGTCACAGTCGTGCAATGTTGTTGTAATGTAGTTACTGTATTAGTAGAATAGTGTTGCGTACTATACTAACTAAATCGTGATACAATGCTGGTGGAAAATTGTTACTGTATTAGCGGAATAGTGTTTTGCCATATACAGTATACTAGCGAAATAGTGCTTCTATACCAGCGGAATAGTGTTACTATACTGACAAAATAGTGATACTACACCATTAGAATAGTATTACCACACCAGCAGAATAGTGATACTACGCCAGTGGAATAGTATTACTACACCAGCAGGATAGTGATGCTACACCAGTGGAATAGTATTACACACTAACAGAATATTGTAATTTACCCGCGGAGTGGTGTAATATACCTGTGGAATGGTGTTTATATACTAGCGGAATAATGTGACTGTACTTCCGGAATAACTCTAATGAATTAGTGGATCGTTTTACAATACTAGCGGAAAAGTGGGAAATATCCAATTTTTGATATTACGAGAATTTGTGTATGAAAACGAATTCGTGGATACCAAGAAATTGAGTAGGACTTTTAACTGCCAATTTGTATTTCAAAATTACATGTCGTGCGATTGAGGCAGCGCTCGAACTGTTTACAATCTTCCAGAAGTATTATCAGGGTAAAGTTCATGCATTAATATAATTTTGTAGAGTTCAAAGTTATGCACGACGTGAAAGATCATCTTGTCGTAAAACGATAGTGAGTCATAACTACATAACTTCACCTAGACTCATAGACCTGCAAACAAGCGTCAAATATGAGACATATATCATGACTTGTCTTTCTGCAAAGACCCGCTACAAGTTTTTTGCAAAATGCAAGTACTTGTAAGAAGCTCTCAATGATTTTCAGGTAGCAAGGCAGTACCGAGCGACGTCGCCATGCAGAATTTCTAAGTAATTCGTTCACGTTACATGTGCGACTGCATCGATTTCCCTCCTGAATTTAATGCAAACACAACAAGAATGCATGAATATTTATTACATGAGTATTTCCGACTCTAGATGTATTGACTTGAAATATTTTACATTCAGTATAATGATAAATGAAATTCTGCTTCGAACATGCAACGTTATACGTATTTATGATGCCCCATATGGAAGTTAGTAAAACAGTTTTATCAAAGCTGTGCCAGTAGCCATCATTAATTAGTTAAATATTCTTTAAGCATTTACTCGTAAATTTATGGAACTTAAGTTTTTTCTTTGTATCGGAAAAAAGGACTTTCTATCCGTTTTTATAGCATGCTTCTCGAATCAGGGCCAAGCCAAAAGTGCCGACGAGGAAATATGCATAAATGAATTTCAAACTTCAGATGGTTCCATTTTTCGCTGTGAGCTAGATAAGTTTACGGATTAAAACTCAGTGGTTCTGAATGACGCTTTCATATTTCTCATAAGCTAGTCCAGTGAACTTCTAAAAACAGAAGCTTCTAGAACATCAATTCCAATTCCAAATCAGCGAGCTTATTTTTTTCGACTTATTTTATTTTCGCGCCGAATACACCAATAATAATTGCTACTTGCGAATTAATTACAAAAATAATTACTACTTTTTGATTTGCTTGTCGCTAATTTGTCATGGACTCGGATCTTTGAAGATCTCCAAATGAGGAGCTCTGCATTTAATTTCAATAAAATTAGCAATCTTCTTCGTGGATTTTTTAGTTGCTTATTTTTTTAATTATTGCTCATGGCTACGAGAACTTTTTGGAACTCACGCTTTCACCAATCTCTCGCATCACGTATTCTTTCACATTCTTCTTCAAATAACAAATTTGAAGAAGAGCCAAGATGAACATGTTTTTCTGGACTTGCATATCTTTTTGGAGGTTAATCTTCTCGCTAAATTACCTGCCTGAGATGTACGCTCCTATGAAAATTCGTTGTCTGGTGTTAAAATTGATAATCACTGTTCTAAATAACTCATGCCGAAAAATCCCAATATGATCAATAAACAATAAATTCTAAAAATATTACGGCTTAAAGAATTCTGTAAAGAGTTCTCATGATCATTTCATTACAATTAAATTATCTAAATCAGTTTTTCACAGTACACGAAAGTTTACTTTTCACCTGTTAATAAAACTTGAGAAAAACATCACCTTGACTGGCACGAGCTCAAACCAAACGGGCATGGCTTGTGCATTTAATGGAGGTGAACATTCTTCTGCGCAGTAAATAATCCGAGCAGAAAGCTTTTAACTAGCCTTTCTTTCTTATCTTCATTTCGGAATAAATGGTTTTACAGTTTCAATGTTCTCTGGTATTAATGAGAAGCTAACGGAAGAGGACACCTGTTAATAACCCACCAAATCTTCGGACCTCGTTGATAAACAAATTTTTGAAGCGAAACTTTATTCTGGGTTATAATGGATTTTAACCGAATGTTTGTATTTATTATCTACATCTCTGATTATTCTTTAAACATATTTTTAGACAAAAAGCTGAAGAAAAATGCCTTTGAGGCTTCTGAAGAGCCGTGAAAAAATCGGGACTCAAAAAGCTGAAATGAATTTTATTGCCCAGGACCGGGAAATTAGATTCGAACTTTCAGCTTCTCCACGGGAGATCATTTATCCTGTAAAATTTTACAATAATTCAGTTGACTAATAATTTTTACTAATTCAAATCTGTCATACAATTTGCGTGAAATTTATCGTCGATGAAACTGCAACTCACTTATTTAAGGGCAGCGCACGTTTTTGCTAAGTCTGATTAATTTCTGGGAGTGTATGAGCCACACATACAATCTTGGAAAAATATCAGCTGAATATATTTTGCAAAATAAAACTCCCACCTAAGATTCGTGGAAAATTATCGACTCCTCTCAATTTACAAATATATTTATATAATGAAAATTTGTAACATATTGGTCCATATTAAAAGAACTTAACCGTGTAAGCTTAATAACATGCAGTTCCAAGCCTACTCTTCTCGAACGCTTTGAAAGGCATTAACGATTAACTGTTCTCCGATGATTCACTACTGAAACAAGTCAATAATTTCCTTAACGGCCGAGTAGCTCTGGAAGTGAGGGCGATTAACAAATTGCTGACCCGAAACAACTTTCCCTGCTGGGCGGGTCTCTTCCGTGCGTGTGTCCAGTTAAGTGCGGCTACGTGCAATACTCATTGTTCCATGCATGCTCTAAATTATACAGTATTGCGACTTTCTCAACTTTTCACCAATTTACTGAAAGTCCCTTGTTGCCATAAAAGCCTATCGTTATTAATACGGTCATCTCATCGGCGAGACTAAAATTTGCTTACCTCCAAACGTACCAAACGACCAAAACCTTGAATTGGTACTTGATTTTATTTATAACATTATGGACTTAATTTTTCAGGTGTTGATCGCAGTTCTAACTGATTTCACTCGATCACGCCCCATTAATTCCTGCACCGGCATCTTCATCAATATCCAAGAGAAATTATCGTAATAAATTTGGTTCTATAGAAAAGAACCTCGTCTTTTTCAAGCAGCGGTTCTCCCCGCCCAGCGAGAACTCCTAAAATTGTAGGCTCGATGAAACCGCAATTAAGGTCTCAACGTTCACCTAGAGCAGGAAGTCGCGGTGAGGAAACCTAAGGCCAGATTATTGACAGTTTCACTGATGCAGGCCTCTAATCGGCAGGAAGTGAACCTGCTTTATATACTCAGTAGCCTCAATATGATATTTCACGGCTCCTTAAATAGCTGGAAAAGTGCCATGTTTATGCGTCGCCAAATAATTGTTGTGCACTCTCTTCCTGAGCGAGACCAATACGTCTTGATTTGATCATGGTGTAGATAAGAGGAAATGGTTACACTAGTGAGTCGCATGGAAGGTTAAAATGAATTGCGCAATGGAGACGCCTTTTAAAGCGCATTATTTATTTATTTATTTCCCAGCATTAGCATAATGTTATTTTTTTGAAAGTAATAATAAACATCTAGTAACATTTTCAAGCCATATTAAATTAAATTAAGTTTGTTACTAGAAGCTCTTAAATTATAAGCCAAATTTTCAGTGCTTATATCCCCAATAGATCGGATTGGGTTCGAAACGAAGTTACTCTTGAATATATAGCCTTACTTTTATCATGTTTATTATAAAATGACGTATGGATGTAACAGTTCGTACTTCTCAGGATGACTGTAACGACGCAGCTGTGGCTTTTTACGGTGTGCTCTACAGTCTCCTCGTCATCCTCAACAGTTCAACTCATCACTGAAAAATTATGGGACTCACATCACTCAGTCGAATCCAAGAGGTCAAAGGTACAGTTAGTGTTGAATGGCCCATTATTAATAGATATAAACAGACTTTGCTTAAATCGTTAATTAAATAGTGTCACTCGTACAACCAAGCAGATTGCTGTTAACGTTTGCTTTCACTGATGAAAACCTTAAACCAAACTTTCAATATTGCAGAACATTTGGTTTCCGAATACCAACGACATTCAAGAGCCGCCAAAGGCTTCAGTGCTTGAGGAACGTTCGATCAGTTCATTGAGACAGCAACTCTCATCCGAATCAGAAGAACCGCCGCTCCAAACCCTTTCACATCGCTGGAATTTTTTCCAGAACACTCTACATTTATTTGACCTCAAACCTTTACACATTTATGACCTATTTACCACATCTCACCAAGATGTAAGGAGCGCAAACGGCAGTTCATGGGGGCAGGGGTTAATGGATGTTTTGGAATCTATAAACGAAATTAATGAGTTGACGAAAAGAGAAATAGAAATCGATCATAGTTATCACAGACTGCCTGATCTTCTCGAGCCTATGCATTACACTCTTGCCCTCAAAGTCTATCACTGGGGCAATCGAACGTTCAGTGGTCGGGTCAGCATTGCAGTCCGTGCTAAAGAGGATTCCAGCGTCGTATTCCTTCACTGCTCGAAATTAAATATCTTCTGGGACTCGGTTCAGGTGCGAAATATTACCACTATATATATACCTTGCAATACGCCGCTAAAGCTGCATAACTCCAGATTCAATTTCAAATTACTTATTCTTAGTGCTTTTAGACCATGTTTGAATATTCCTGATGTATTTTAATTAAACTCTTTATGTATGCAAAACGAAGAGCAACCAAAACATAAAATTTTAGAAACAATATTGCCTAATTCGACGGCAAACTCTGAACTAAAGTTGCACTGTTGTTTCAGTTTCTTAATTAAATCAGTTATTATTTTGCAGGTCATTGATTCAAGCGGGACCAGGCAGCACCGAGTGGTTGACCACAAGATCCTACCAGGCCCCGAAATGATAGCGCTGGTTGTGCGCCCCCGTCTCATAAAGGACGTTGCTTACAACATATCAATTGAGTTCAGTGGAGTGATGGCTGAAGATGAGTACGGACTCTACAGCTTGTCCTACTCTAACAATGGTGACACGCAGTTAGTATATATTCATTAAAATAGTAACCCTTACATAATTACTTCAAGGAATTGTTCTCGTAAAAACTTCAGTATATTAGCTACTGTAGGACTAAATAGTTATTTCATTCACGTTTAAATCTAATAACCGCACACGGATTAGATCCTAATACTTAACTGGGGACATTACATTATTCCAAATTTCCCGGAGTATAGGCTACTCAATTATCGTTTACTTATTTTTTCTTTTCTAATTTTTTGACTGAGTCATGTAAGCTATGTGCTTTTAATAACACAATGTTAACAAGAACTCCCTATTTCCCCAACTGCTTGCATGAATTTGCTACTTATAATTACACTTTAAACTAAAAGAAGCGTTAACTGTTGACGTTGCGTCAGTTACATGGCGCTGACGCAGCTCCAGACGACGTACGGGCGTCAGGTGTTTCCTTGCTTGGACGAACCTGCGCTCAAGGCGCGCTTCTCCCTCCGCGTCGCCAGACCCACGAACTGCACGGCGCTCTCCAACACCCGTCGCATCTCTACCACCCTCATGTGCTGCCTGGCGAGACTCTTTCCAGAGAATTATTGATATTAATAGGGCTGAACTTTAGCTGTGTGAGCTAATATAGTTGCGAAACGAATAACTGGATATGAAAGGAGCAGAGGCTATCGATGACCAGAAGGAAATGATATTTAAGAGCTTGAAATTTAGTAACAAAATAGTGGGTTAGAATCAAATCTAAAAGAGTTGCAATGAACCAATTAACTTTTAGTGAATACGATTTTGGTCGGTAAATAACCGATATTTTCCAAACAATCACCCGGCTATAAATAATTGAGAATCATCACCTCTACATACCGAAGAGCTTAAAAGCACATAAAATCATGAGCTTTAATCCATGAATTTAATTGACTAATCCCATACTGAATGCGTGTACATTGCTTGCGTCGCAGCGAGCCTGGTTGGGTGTGGGATGAGTTCGAGACCACGCCGCTGATCTCGACTTACATCCTGGCGTTCGCTGTGATTGACTTCGACTACCTCACTGTCACAGGGCCTGGCATCACGTTTTCGGGCGAGTAAACTTCCAAATACACTTATTGTCACCCTGGATAATTCACATTATTTGTACATAAATTGTAAACCGAAGACTTAAAAAGGAAGATTGAAGTCTGAACAATCCTTCATTTATGTAATTATCCCTACAGCAATCTTTCATTCATTTAATTATCCCTACTACTTATTATTCGATTGGCCATTTTAATGCCTAGAAGCTAGCTTAATCCCTAGTATCGTGAATGTGTCTATTGTTAAAAATAAATAGATTTTGATCAACTCTTCTTGCTTATGAATTAAAGGCGTTTTTCCTGCTGTAGTGTGGACTCGCCCTGACCTTCTCCCGTTCGCTTCGTACGTGCTGGAAATCGTACCTCAACTGCTGTATTACTACCAAGATTATTTCAAAGTCAAGTATCCACTCGGCAAACTCGATATCGTTGCTGTGCCTTCTGTTTATCCTAGAGCCATGGAGAATATCGGCCTCATTTCAATGCAGTGAGTGGGTAAGAGCTGTCAGTATTAGCGAGAAGCCAGCTTGTGAAATCAAATTTTTACTTTAAAAATCATACAGATCTCTTGTTTCCTTTGCATTATACAATTAAAGCAGTATTTCCTCCATGCTTGTAAAATGCCATTTGTTGAGAAATTTAGTAACGTGAAGCCAGCTTAAGATAGTAGCCTAATCAGTGCACCATCCGTTCGATTTAACTAATACTCTAAATTAGCATATGCATGGGAGAAACAAAATTCCAAAAACTCCACGAAAAATCAATTGAATATGTATATACATGTATAAGAATATATGATCTTGGTTGACGGTCGCTGCAGTGAACGCATGGTGCAGCGGACGCCATCCTCCCGGACTCAGGACCGGGTGGTCACAACCAAAATCGTGGCACACGAGTTGGCGCACATGTGGCTCGGCAACCTGGTCACGCCAGCGTGGTGGGACCACATCTGGCTCAGTGAGGGCTTCGCGACCTTCTTCGCTGCTCAAGCCACATCTCTGGTTGGAATAAATTAATAATAGAATATCTCGTTGTTGAAGTCTCTATCCGTGTAATTTAGTTATTTAAGAAGCCTGTAGATTGTATTTGACCATCTCTGTTGATTGTAATTGACCGAACGGTCACTCATGGAGAGTTGTTTGTTGAAATTCAGCAGCATTTTTTAGTAGGTACCAGGAGTAGTTGAAGCATGCCTGCGACAACTCGCTGTGTGTTTCACTTTCTAGTAGTTTGTTAATGCACACAGATCATACCTGACGGTTATGTGGAAGGCAGCTTCGTAGCTCACGAACATTGGCTGTCTCTTGCTACAGACGTCGCGCCGATGTCTCGCGCTATTTACGTGCCCGTGTTGAGTAATCAGACGCTTTTGGTCTTTGACGACCACACCTACAACAAAGGTTGGTGTTCTCCTTAATGAGCCCGAGTAATATAAAGTCAAAAACATAATATTTATGCGAATAATTCGTAAATCTTCAATTTATTTGGATGCTTAGTAAAACACTAAGCATCTAAATAAATTTAGGATTTACGAATTATTCACACGAAAATTATATTTTTGGTTTTATAACATTGACTTTTTTGTCAGGCGCGTGTCTCGTGAGGATGATGCAGTTCTTTATGGGGGAAATGAACTTCCGGCGATCCGTATCTACTTACATAAAGACGAGGTATGGATGGGGCAGTCTTGCGTTAAATAAAAATGGCCTCGAAAGAGCTTACTCATTTAAATACCCAAGATCGCTTACCAAAAACTTGACACGATGCAAATCAATTATTTCCAGTTTTACATAATTTCCTAGACTCGCCTTAACTTCTATTTTTGAAATCGAATCAATTTTGATTCAAGATTTTTCCATCCACAATCCATAATTTAAACTTGTTTGAATTTCTGGGAATTAGTCTTTCATGAACGTTCAGGACATTAAAAAATATTTGATATTACTAAATTAATTTAATCCAAAATATTTTTAATATGTGTTAACATATATTTACTTATTTCGTTTTTACTTGCAGACTTGAATATAAATTCATGTGATACTAATTGTTTGCAGACAATTTTCTACGAGCACGAACTGGGATCTGCTGAGCGTGTTAGGAGACACGAACACCGTCCGTGAACGCCTCCCCGAGTCTGTGGAGCTGTCAGAAGTGATGCGAGGGTGGCTCACCATCGTCGGCTATCCCCTCATCACCATCACCAGACTCTCTAATGGCACGGCGCGTCTGGAACAGGTGACAGTTGCTTGGAGGAAATAAGTTGGAATTTACAGTCTTAATTGCCTCTATCATTCTTATTATATTGTTTATTGCCTCTATTATCTTTATTGTTCAATGAATTACACTATATTACCAGTAATTGTCTTCAGCTTAGCATGATAACATTTAGCATAGATTTTTATCAAGTGAAATTGTCTATCAATTTTTTATGAGTTGAAAATGCAATCATGGTTTTGTGTTCCTTTCTAACAGAGACTCTTCACCTACTCCACGTCTGCTGATATTCCCGCTGATTCGTTCTTTTGGGTCCCTCTGAGTTGGATTTCTGAGACGGACGCTCTGTCGTCTGAGCCACCGTACCGAAATTTATGGCTGCCTCCTAATAATTCGACCTTACAAATCCAGGACATACCAAACGAACAGTACTGGATTATCGCAAACGTACAACGTGCCGGATACTACAGAGTAAACTACGACACCAACAACTGGCTCCAGCTCGCTAGACAACTCCAGCAGAACCATCTTATATTGACACCGTCGCACCGCGCGCAAATATTGGATGATGCGTTTCATTTATACTGTGCGAGTGAGTGGCGTGAGATGTTGTCTATCACATCCACTAATTATGCAAAGGCTGGCAGAGTATTCAGTCAATGAAGTGGTTTTTGATGCTTCGGGGGTTTATTGTGTCTGATTAGCTTGATGCGTTTAGTTGCGTCGGTACTGTAATGAATGAGTCTTTGTATTGTTTGTGGGAATCTCATTTTTTTGTGGTTGCTGGGAGTCTCATTTTGATCGGTGTATATCATCGACCTTGCATTAAAGACACACTGGAAAAAATATTAGGCGTCACTAGGTCCTGGGGACCAAGCGTCTGCGATTGGTTACTGCCACGTACGGTTTGGAAATGGGAATTTTAAACAACTCACTGAGAGAAACGAACCTAATTCAACTGCCACGAGGGGCTTGTGAGTAATCGCGAAACCAACCGACAGCTATTAAGAGCTTATTTAGCAATATTTTTGTGATTAATTATTATGAATTATCGTGAATGATTACATGAATTATCTGCCAGACCTGCTGGAGGAGGATATACTCGAGGCGCTCTACGCGTACGTGGCACGCGAGCTCCATGCGGTGGTATGGAAGGTGCTGTACGCTAACGCCCACCTCCCGTACCGTGAAGGAATCCACCCTAAAAACTTCATGCAACTCAGAGTAAGTTTAGTACATATATGCTAAAAACTTTAATTCAAACTGACATGTGTATTATATGTCTTGGAACTAATGATTGTTCCTCAAAAAGCTGTTTTTGTTGCAGGATAAACTGAGCCGTCTGCTGGACGTTTAAACTTCAACTCCACCGATAACTCCACCAGAGGGTTGTTACCCTGATTTCTGCTGAATAGTGAGGGGAAAATCACAAGAAGATATAATGAAGATGAAACCAGCATTATCCTGAGATTATAGCTACTATTTCGGGTAACCTGGTGATGTTGTTAGCGCATTTTCTCATTTATGTAACAAATGCACTATTGTGCTCGCCATGGCCGTCCGTCCGTCTGTCCGTTTGTCTGTCTGTCTGTCTGTCCGTCCGTGACTTCAAGTTTTCGTCGACGAGAAAATGCGCTCTTTGGCACTCACTGCCGTGATTAATGAGTTATATTTTTTTGTGTTTGCCACGAATAGATCGTTGTTGGAGACCGCAAATTTTGGCTCTGATTTTGTGCATGCCAGGTAAAGATTTTCGGAGACCGCAAATTTTTGCCCGGTTCAATTCACATGCCCGAACTGAGCAAGAACTTTAATACTCAACTGTCGTGACGAGCGCAAGCAGTTATGAATTATTGTGCCAACACAATAACTGTCTGTGATAGAAGCAGCAGGCGAAGAACTTTATGAACTTAATTATGAATGCTCTTGATGAATATAAAACTTTTAATTATTGTAAATAACACAAATTTCAGTAGTTTTTCAAGAACTTTCTACTTATAATAGAAACTAATATTTATAATTAATTGCCTGGCGAGCCTTAACGGGCTAAGAGATTGTTGTTGGTAGGATGAAATTCCGATCGGGAATATGAGCAGCGCCATCGTTGAACAAGGTTTAACGCTCAGTGCTGAACTACTGAACCGAAGAAAATTATAGATTATCAATAATATTTGCTAAAATGCACTTAATTATTGTACATTAACAAAATAAAGGTTTATATAATGTAATTAATTCATCTGTTAATTACCAATTAGAATAGCGGGGCCAAATTGATTATTTCAGTATACGAATGAGCGCATGCAAACTTCAGCATTTGAATATGATCTTTAATTTGCATTTGTAAGACGTAGTGTACATATTTAACTAGCGCAATAATAGAACAACGCCTATTTAGTTGTAGGCTTAGAGAAAGATTACAGCGGAGACAGCCGATAACCTGAGAAACTGTCCGGCACTCTCACACGACTTCGTGGTACGGTTTTCATGGATGATGTTCATGTCAGGCGCGTATGGCTGCTAGTATTCTGGCTGGAGCCCATGTAAGCAGAAGCGCCCGCTCCGTATACACTCATTTATTCGTTTATTGGGCAGTGAAGAGAAATTATTTCTCATGGTAGCTGTAGTTCCATGATCCTGACCCCAAGCTGAGTTCAGTGGATATGCATTGTACCATTAAGTCATTATGCACTTCGTGAAGTGCCAGAAAATGCTACATGAATTAGCAAGATTTTAATCTGGATAGTTCCCGTAGAAATGTCGAAATGTAAGGTGGAAATGAAACTGATAATGCGCCACATTTAATTTGTGTGATGCAAAAATGTAAGATCAGGGAATCGAAAATTTTACTTTGAACGTGGAGTATATTGAAATGCCGACTTTAAAATCTTTTATTAAGTAAACGAAAATATCGTGGTAAAATATAAAATTTTGTGAGACATCATTGCCACCAAATCAGGATACGTTATTAATTAATATCGAATGCACATTTTATTATTAGCTTGCTTAACATCTTAAAGGAAACTGTCTAGAAATCACGTTTCCCTATTATTTTTCTTGATTAGGAGTGTACATTCATTTACATATGCCTGAATTGTGGAGTGATTTTAACTCGGTTCACATTCTCTATATAAGCATACATAATGCTGAGCTGTAATGCGACAGTATCAATCTCATTCAAATTTATCTGTTGAATAAATTTATATTTAGTGCCAAAGCTATTTCCACAGTTATGTAAAATGAAAGTTGTAATTTATAAGCTAAATTTTTACTTTATAAACCGCAAATTTTATCTTATGCCTGTTTTTTCAAAGATATTAGATGCAGCAGAAGTGTTTTTTTTTTGTGTAATAAACGTTGTTCGCAAAAACCAAAATCACTGCAAAAGCCTTTTAAATAACTAGCTATTATTCAGACCAATCATCAGTTTCTCAGACCAATGGTGGCATTTAGCCGGGATAAAGTTATTTGCTCGATTGTTTTTCCTCACTAGAATAACGATGAAATTCCAGTATTCCGTCATTTGGTTGCAGTCTCACTTATTGGTTCTTTTCTGGCACAGAAAAACTTTCTTTTTTTTCTGGCATTATTAGCGCAAAAGTTATTTTTGGACACTCCTGCGGTTATGTAACTAAATAATACCATTAAACAAGAAGTAGAGGTCTATTTGCATTAACTATATTAAATAGTTAAAAAAAAGCCTTTTTCTGTCATCAAGAATTGTATGCACATGGCCTCACTGGTCATGAAGAGTGCTGGCAGTCGCTTTCCAAAATTTTGTATTTTTGGTTTTGGCAAAATTGAACGACAATGACTAGATTGAACGAGAGGGTTGAGTCAACAATCTGAGCTGTTCCGCTCGAAATCCAATGCATTTGAATTCTATTGTTAAAATTGTTCAAATTTTATACAAATTAGATATTTTTGGCATTTTATAGTTTACTGATATAGTGCTATAGTAGATGAAAATACTTATTTCCATATGTTTTATCATAGGAGTCTTACAAATAAGTTATGAATTTAAGCATAATTATCTAGTATATTAATATAAGCATAATTGTCTAGCATTTTACGCGGCTTTTCGATATATTTATACAAATCAATTGTAGAAACGTGCACAACTGCGAAAGTTTTCCCTCACGCCTGCGATAACTTTTCATGGGCACTGCTGATCAGCATTCAGCAGGTAAAACAAGACGTCTGCCGAGTCAGGCCACTCTATCGAACTTTATATCTAACTTGCTTACTTTCTAATCATCCTCTCCACTGCCAGTAGTTCCAAGCGATCTAGTAAACTCTCTTGCCTTCGAAACGTATTCAATGCCAGAAAAAATCATTTAAGCGTTATTTATTGCTTGTATTAATGATGCGTATTGATTGATGTAAATGAATTCCAAACAGAAAATGTATAAGAAAATAACTCAATTCACTTTACTAACGTCGATCCACATATAATTTGAAATATCATATGGCATTCAATGTTAATTGCACAAGCATGCATGAGCTTGGTGATAACATACAGGGTGATTCACGGAAACTTCCTGATTTGAAAGCGTAATAAAGAGGAGCGATAAAAGAAAACTAGTATGAAAAAATATCATAACGATACAAATTTTACTAAAAAGACATTACCTGAATTTATATTTTCTCTTAGTTTAAAGATGACATCGGACAAATGACGGCCCCCCAATGTTACTGCATACAGTTAGTCGATTTATGAAGTCCCGTTTAACTCGGTGAAGCATATTGACGGGTGTGTTGGCGATGGCTTGGCGTATGTTGTTTTTCAAATGAGGTAGGGTCTTGGACAGTCATTGTAAACAATTGATTTAAAATAACCCCATAAAAAATCACATGGAGTCAAATCGGGGGATCAGGCCGGCCAAAGGTCACCTCGCAATGAGATGAGGCGCTGTGCAAAATATTGTCTCAGAAAATCCATTGAACATCGCGCTGTGTGGGCCGTGGCTCCATCCTGTTGGAACCAGACATACAAAAGGCGTCAATCATTTGCGTGTACCAAGCTGCAGTCATCGTTACTGCGCGTTCGTTTTCCTTATAGGAACAAGACCTGAAGGGCGAATACGGAACCGAGAACGGAATGCTTGTTGAGTTGAGTAGCGATAATGGAACGGCCATTGTAAAAGTGCACCTCGACAGCAAGCGCAGGCCCCTCACTTGTCCAATGCATAGTGGCAACTGACTAGGTGGGACACAAAATTTCATGACCTTACCTTTCATAAGAGATACTTTCAGTTATTTTCCTACAACATCTAGCTGATTGGTGCGAAATACAGAACAAGAATATTCCGTAATCATCCTGTTTTAATATTTAAAATTTTTAAAAAGTTTTGTTGAAAAATAACCCTAAAAATCAGGCAACATGTATGAAGTAAAATGAGTAAAATTTCAATGCCAAAAATGCCTAATTAATTTACTATATATTAATTGAATTAGTATTGGATCATCAGACAAGAAAATTGAAAAATACATGTAGCTATTGTCAATAGAGAGAGCCAAATCTACACGGAAGAGATTGAAACCGTTCCGAATCGACGGGCACAGAACACAGAGACCTATCTACATCAAATACCAAGCAGATAAGAAAAATGAGCGTTGCTAAGACAAGATCTCCTATGAAAAATATGCCGTAATTCAAAAATCCTTACATTTCGTGCACTTGAGGTGGAACCTAAAATTTAAAACCACTTTCAGACACGTCGCTCTGTTCAGTGTGAAGAGGCAAAGCATAATCTATTTTATCTTTTGATGATACCTAAGTTCAAAGCTTGATGTCGGAGCTTGTCTTCGGAACTTTTCCGATGAAGATATTTGAAATTTACTGGGCGTTTAATTTGATTTTAAAATTTTGGTGAATTTGCGATTGCACAGAAATTATTAAATAAGTACATAGACTAACGCAGGAATTTCACTATCCACCCTTTTTAGGCTCTTTTTTCAGTGTCTGTATCGTCAAATTCTAGCTGAGGAATATAAGATTTAACACATTAAATTAAATTTTTGCCTCTTAAAGCGGAGCGAGTCATCTCTACCTTGAAACGTAATTAAAGTTTTCAATGTTGAGACAGTCAAACTTTGACCTCATCTTAACCGTTGTCCTGGCCAGCTGTTGGCATCATTCGCGGTGAAAAAAAAAAAACACAACTAAAAGCATTAAAAACACGAAATTTCATGTATAACGATCTACCAGAAGTAGTGTCAAGCGTGTGCTCCATGTATGCCGATGACACAAAAGTTTATAATACAGTTAAGGATGCGTCAAATAAAATGCAACTGCAAAATGATCTTGATAGTTTAGTTGACTGGGCTGATGCGTGGCAGCTGCGTTTCAATGCTGACAAAAGACTAGACAAGGCCATGCATGAGCATATGTTCAGTCTTAAAATGCCTCGTACCTTACGGAACAGCTGATATCTCGAAGCTATTTTAAATCTACCGTCCGTAAGGCCAGTCTAGTCAAGAAAAGTACAAGAATCGGCGACAGGCCTATCCAGGCCTATTTATTCAATGCCGAAGATACTATACTATACTATTTCAATATCCACTATCGTCACTGATCTTCACCAGAAACATTCCCTAGTTATTACAATAATATTTTGACAACGTATCGAGTCTCGAAATCATGCGAATACTTTCAGGTCATGAGAGAATTAAATTTTTGAGGAAGATGAATTAAGTTTCGTTAATACTCAAATTATAAATGACGTTGTAGAAGCGAATATACAGTATAAGCTTGAGTTCACGCAGTTCTGTGACCGGTAGGCAGGCTTTACATTTCAACGCCTGTATAAGATTCGGCGCCGCCATCATGAAAGTCCTTTACAGCTGAAGCTCCGGTAAACAAAGATAGAAAATATAATGCGACTAGCCGTGACTCTTAATTTAGCTTTATCTGAATTTCGTTAATTTTGCAACAGTTAAAGCTGTGCTACTAAGATGGTAAGACTTCAATTACACCACTCTTGACTTGTGGCCATATTATAATCTGTTTTTAGCCTCATTTGCGGCTTGATGTGAGCGTCGCTGAATCAACTTCTTGCCAGGGCGTCCGCTAGAACTTTTCCTAGTCTTATCATTGTTTTGACTCTTAATTATAAATTGTTGTATTTAAATGTATCAGAAATAATTTTTAATACTCTGAAATACATCTTGCGCTGTTATTTTTTTACCAAATTTGTCACATTTTAGGCTACGAAAAGTTCTAAAAAAAACTGACGAAAAAATAATGAGAAGTGGTAACACTACAAAAAGCACTTTGTAACTCAACCATAATTGCTTCCAAAATTGATTTTTTTACCAAAGTAAATGGACCAAATTTATGAGTTTAAATGATAGTTTGGAGCTGTGACATCATTTGAATAATCTGTTTTCAAATCCAAATCAATTTTTATTACTCGCCTTTCTCGAAAATTAATTTTGTAATTTGACTTAAATGCTTCAATTTGCAACCTTCAGTTCCCAATAAAGGTCCTGCATCTTAACTTTTGCTAGTTAATGGGTGAACGTTATCTTCAAAAGTTTCTCTCAAATATAAATGAATTATTATGATATAAATTAATTGTCTTCACGGACAGACTGATTTTTTCACGATTAAACTCGTGAAATTTCATCAGCAAGAAAGACCGTGGGTGGGGCTCTAGCTATTGGGTAGCTCATGAAGTTTATTGTGCCATATAAAGCAGCGGGACTCTCACATCGCCCTTCACTCGATCTGCAGTCGCCGTACATGCAGGTGAGTCGCTTTCTCTTCCTCCCGAGTCTTTCCCTCCCGCTTCGGGGTTACTTTGAAATAAATTATTATATGAAATAAATCACTGCAAACAGAAATAGTTATTCAAAAAATCGATCAATAGCCATCGAAAAAGTTTTTGTGCTCCATTAATCGAATTATTATATTTATGCGCTATTACTCGAAATTTGTATCGAATGAAGATTTGTTGAAAGTTCAACTGTAACGATTTCATCGAATAATTCTTCTGCACCATCATTGCACATAACTACTCAGTCATCAGTACGCATTTAAAAAAAATTCATTTCAAAAATTCATTCATATGCCATTTCCATTGATATGGTTTATATTGTAGTTTCTGCAGAACGACCATGTCGCATATTTCATGATGCTCTTCGAAAATCGCGAATTGTTAAAGATAAAATGCCTAATATGTATAACACAAATTAACTTAATCATAAAAGTTAGTCGAAAAAATTAACTAGTCTTCAACTTTTTAGTTTATTCCAAAAAAGATTAGTGTTCGAAATTTTCATCAGCTTCTCCAAAGCGTGTAAAACATGAGTATTATGACAAATGTAGTAAAACACTCGTACCATTTTTGCTCGTGTCACATTCAACCACTTGACTTTATTCAACTTGATCTGAAGAACTTAAAACAACTCTGAAATATTAATCGCAAATGAATTGTAAATCTCGTGATCATAATTAGCATCTTAATTAATGCATCACAAATATCGCGTAAATTAGAACCACCATCGTTGAAATAGTTTTTTAGTGTAAATTTTTAATTTTTCATTTAACTGAACAAATTATTTGCATGCAAGCTATTAAAAAGTATCGAACACTAATAACTTATAACGTGGCACTTATTAAATGGCAATGCAGCTGTTACAGCTAAGATATACCTTTCTGTATCTAGTTTACATCATAGTGAGATTTCCTCGCGCTTCTTGAGGAAGTTTCAAGAAATTAATTGGTAGCTTTACATATGAAGTAGAAGATGCGAATGCAATTGAACGTTATCCAAGAAACGTTTGGTGAGCACACATATGTTAATTGCTCAACCCATGCTAATCCACGCACGATTAGCATGGATTTCCTTAATTAGGAACAATTACTTGCAACGGAGAAGATATGTTGACGGCTAATTGATTTTTTGCTCTGATAGAATTAAGCAACTTTGAACGGAAATTTAATCTCCGTCATATATTTCCTCTGTGTTTTCCTTTGTATTAAAATATTATTTTTAGATCATACTGCCCTTTGCTTGTTAATAACTATTCACAAGGCGAAAAAATTACATAGAAGAGATATCTCAATTATCTGCAAACACTGCTGCCTTATCGGGCAAGTTAACATAACCATTGATAAATAAATAAATATAAATAATTTGATCTCAACAAATCCATTCCTCGACGCTTGTTTGGCCGGCATAACTCCAAAATAACCTATAAATTGAGCTTTCCAATGATATGCAATGAACTGGAAATTCACATTTTAGATGATTCACTACATGGATAATGTTTGTTTGTATCTGGAACAGCTGTTGTGATGTTTTATGGCTCGAAAACAAGTTCCTTCTCATTTAAAATAACATTTATTACCTTTCGTTTAATTGACCCCAGCGACGACACTATCTTCGGCTGACTACGACCGAGCGTACAGGGAGGCATGGGCGATAATTGATATTAAAATCCTTAAGATAATAATCGATTGCTCCGTTTCGATAACCGAAATTTACTCTATTCATATATGTATATCCCCGCCATTCCGTAGCCCTTGTCGGATTGCATAGGTACAATTTACCTACAGTACGCTCTGCACGATTATGACGTCGTAATATTATGCAGTCCCACAGGGGTTAAAACTAAACTTGAGCATCCCGCGCCCAACTAAAATTAGGAATTTGTTAGCTTTCATTTATCTAAAGGCATATGAAGAGAAAATAATAATTGTCTTGTGGATTTTTGTGAGTTACTATATTTTCCGATTCAATACAATGTTCGTATGAACGATATTATTTTGATAATACGTATTAGAATCTTAATTATTAAGTTCTTTTCATAATTTTGAGTATCTACCATTAATTAGTTAATATATATATATATATATTATATATATATATACTTAGGGCATCCACGACGAATAATAAAAAACAGTTCTTAATCTCATTATGCAGCCAGAATTTATATGCAGATAAAACTTCAGGAAAATTCAACATATACTCATTTAAACAGATTCTAAAATTGCTAATTTTCTCGGTATATGCTATTCTTTTCAGTTACTGAATAATTTGAATGATCCCAATGAATGATATAGTGATACTCTCTGGGTATGTTTTGTGGTAGTGTCCGGTAAATAATAAAGCAAACTGTCAACGTTATATATACGAAGTCCCCAATAGATATATTTAAAACAAGAAAAATATATATAAATAGTTTCAAACGAATATTCAAGAGTTCGTTTTGCTGCAATGCGCCCAATGTTTCATCTAAGGTAGTGCATTGAACATGTTTCATTTCCATCGAACAGACAAAAGTGAATATCTGAGATTGTGAATGCTGGTGTGGATTTTGCGTCCTCATAAAAGTATTGCCACAACCACAATAACCCAAATCTATATAAACTGCGTACATGCTACTATTTTTTATAAAACCTTTCAGCATCCAGAAGCCCCAATGTCTTGCACTCACTTTAATTGAAAAATGCTCTACTTTTTGACGGGTTTTCTGAAGCTGACCATCCTGGTATCAACGAATTAGTTTTTTGTCTGTTCGCCCTCACTACGGCATTGAATCGGCAAAGATCATGGGTAAGGTAGAGAAGTTTGCCAGCATAGTAGGTGATGCCTTTCTGGCTGGCTCTACCAGACAAAACCGCGAAATATCAATCAAGGAAAACCACGCAGAAAATTTACTGGTGCATATGTTCATAATCAGAAGACAACAACTGAGTTAGATTCAAATTATCTGCATATAATGGTAAACAGTTTATTCTCGTGTTAAAAAACTGGCTAAGGAACATCAATCATTCATATGGTTGATTGGGGATTCACTTTATGTTATAATCTCATCAAAAAGAGAAATACAAAAATTATAATTATCACCATCAAAAATTTAATCTTTACAGTCATTGCAGCTATTCCAGTAACAAATAAACTACAATACGAAGGTGATTTACGAAATAGAGAAGGTGATTTACGTTCGGTCCGAGTCCTAGGCGGTTCCTAATTCAGGGTCGCCACCAGCTCAAAATTTTGATAGGGTTTATCTTGTAGAATTTTCTATCCTTTCGAAGTATCGTTAATTATTAGCGAGTTACCGAGAAGCTCCTATGTAGCTGGCAAAGCTCACATGCATGTAAAAATGCATGGGAGCATGCAAACTTAATAAAAATTCCATGCTGTCTCTCCATTAATTATAATTTTAGTTTTGTATCGATATTCGGCGGGATTATTGATGATAAGTCAAAAAACTGCATCAAATTTCAATCTTTTCAACGGATTGCTATTTCCTACAGACAAGCGGTCAGTGATGGCTGCGCGGACATTCCCACCGCTGCTGTTACTGGTGGCGCTCGTGTCGCTTTTCGTAAATCCCGCGCAGTTGCGACTCTTAAATCCCGACCCGTTACTGACATCTGTTCAACAACGATGGCCACTTCGACCTTTTTCCCTCTCCGACATTACGCGTGCCCTCGCACCAGCGGCACTCAGACGCAGAGTAATTAACATACAACCATATTCTGAATAAATATTTTTCAAGATCAGACCATTAGTAGTGTTATGTATAATTACTAGTACAGCTACTTCAGTTGAAGATAAAAACATATGGGAATATATTGGTTTTGCATAGTGTTGCTAATATTAATTATTACCAATGCATGCTCCAATAAATAATTATAATGTTTTTTTGCCTATGTAATGCAGATACATGGTGGATTTGCACCGAACACCAGAGAATTAGAAGCTGACCGGAAAAACTTACTGGGCACTGATGAGTACGAAGACTTCGATGATGATCCGATCTACAGGTGCGACTCACTCAGATTCAAGTACTAAACGGATTAAAATTTGCAATAACAAAATAACGTGGTTAATTTGAATAATTCTAGGAAAATATACAAGCTCCGCTTCGTAAGTTTGTAAGAAAAGTTAAGGGGTACGACATCGTTTACAAGGTAAGACAAACTTTCTAGGACATTATTCCATTAAATAATTAATAGAGCAGTCTTCAACAATCGCAAGATCCTTAAATACCGAAAAAAATTGTGCAAACGCTATTTGAATTGTGAAGAAATTTATTAAACAAAATGATTGTTTCTATCATCAAATGCGATTAATCGTTCTCGAAAAGTTTAAACTTCGAAATAATTTTCAAGCGCAATAACATTTTTCATACTTTTATCAACCTAAGGTACGTAAAATGACGTGTCTGACAGTCGTTAATGAGTTTCGTGATAAATCTAATCTGCAAAGATATTTTATATTTGTCTTTAAAAATTGAATATTTTTCTTTTAATTTTGTTTACTGAAATAGATTTCCACAGAAATTCTATGAACAGATATACAAATGCAGTAGCATCCTTTAATCTGCAAGTCGAGAAGACAAATATACCAGTTGCAATTGCGTGAATCCGGATATAAAACACGCTTTACTCATTGCATTTGATTAAAGTATAGAAAAAATTCTTTTGTCCAGGTTTCACGACGCAGACAAACGACAGCATCCCGACTACGGTCACCTAAGGTTCGGCAAGCGGGCGGAGTTCGGCGACTACGGCCACCTGAGGTTCGGCCGACGCAGCCACTCGAGCCCCGACACGAACGCCGGCACCGCGGCGGGAGTGACAAGTGACGGCGACGGTCAATAACGGTTTACAGCAGCCGTTGTGACTAACCTGGCTAATTAATGTACCGTAAAGTCGTGCTTAACGTGGAATTTAAACAGTACACGAGTTATTAAGAATACACAGGGAGCACGAGTAATGCGTAAAAAAAGGAATGTTGACAAAAAATATACCGTGACAAATCTAATGACAGAATGTTCGAATTGAGTGTTTCCTGTAATGAGCAATAATTTATTATGGTTATTATATTATAGGAAGCTAGGGTTATAATATTAACAATTGCCGAGGGCTAGCCGAGAAACTACAGCAGAATTCCCTCTTAAAATACGCGAGTTTGAAATCTTAGGATTGTACTTTATCCATCCTGTTTGCTTCAGAAGATCCATTTGTTAACCCGAAAGATCCATTACCCTTTATGGTTTGAAATGAAACACGCAATAAGAAGAAATTAATCCACTAGGTAAAAAAGCCCGTTCATTTTAGTATTTTTCCATGATTTATACGTCGTTGCATACATTATTAATAATGAGACATCTTCTACTTAAATATAGATAAAAAATAAATATTTCTAACGCTCAGCCAGCATAAACTCAAATGAAATTATTCAGTATTTACATGGTTGGCGTCAAAATAAAATCTTGATTTAATTTGATAGCACAATGAATTTCCAACTTGAGTGCGGTTCATTAAGAAAATATTGTACGAGTATTTTTATGATGACTTAATTCGTTTATAAAATATGCTGATCCGAAAAGAACTTCCCCTTATTTGCATACGTTTAAGAGGCTAAAACTTGAAATAAACCCAATTAAGTTTCGTTCAAACAATATTCCATGCCACGTGTATTTAGTCACAAATTGTTCAAATAAATTGTGACTGACGTATCTAGTATACAAGAAATTTTTACTTGGAAAAATACTTGCGGCATTTAATATGATATCTGCAGTAGTTATTGCCTATTTTCGATTTATGAAAGTACCACATGAAAATTCAAGGCTTTGCCAAAACATAAAATTAACGCCAGAAATTTTGAGTCTTCTCTAGGTTTTTTACACCTGCTCACTCAACTTCGCTCAGAAGCGACTCCGGGCCTGGATGTGACAGTTATACTGTAACTTACTCATTCATGCCGTAAATAGATTATCTAAAATGGGTTACAGTATAAGTATACGTTGTTTAGCGCTGACCTATTGGTAGTTAGCGCATTTAATTATACTTTAATTCGCATTTTCCCAGCTATTTGTAAACGCTAAATTTGCATGTTCAAATGTACAAATTGGAAGTCCGTAATACATTTCCGACGGCTACCTAGCTTTGAAGAACTGTTAGGAGTTCGCTTTCACTGGTATCGTCGTTCGCCTTCGCTGGTATCGCATTTTATACGCCTGATCGTCTAAATACTGTTCCAACAAAAATCCAACCCACTAAGACATTGATAATCTGCTTCTATTTTCACTATACAGCGCTCAAACTTATTATTCTGCTGGAATAGTACACAATTGGATTGACACCACATGTAAGTTTGAAAAAAATACGTGCGCTACCCTTGCAACAATTTTTAGGTGCTAATTTTAACTAAGTGAACAACTGCAAAGTTTAACCTCGATTCGTGTATTGAACAACGACTGAACCGTATTTCGATCAGCATTTCTAGGTGTGGGCCAAACAAAAATAGATCTATTTATAGAGTGAAAAAGTCGTGTACTTCTTCTCATCGATTTCTATACCCACGCAACTCACGTGTTGGCTTTTTAATTCTTTTCTGCTGCCAAGTGTTTGCCGTTAGCGTCTCGATGATTGGGGCCATTAGACCCCATTACCTGATTTCGTCTTCTATATATTAATTATGATGCTTAAAACAGTTATATAAGTTTCTCTTTTATCAGGATGATTATATTTGTGCTGTTTTCCTTATATTTAGAACAATGAATTTTCCATATAAAAATCAATTTTACTATATGTATCAATTTGCTATTAATATATGTAGTATACCTAATTTTGAATATTTTCAACTACAGAGCAACATTTTGTTTACTACATTTATTGATCTCGCAAAGAACAGCAATAATGTTCAAGTTCAAAGGTAGAAATCAAAGAGGCTTTTCCACAGCCACAAGGGAGTGTTTAGTGATAAGTCAAGCACCTCCCTGAGGGACCTCGCGACAAGTTGACAGACACTGAAGATCAGAAGACGTTTTTTTATTCTGGGAAGAATGATTTACAACGAACGCATTCGTCTATATAGGGTCCCTTCGTCGCTGGTATCAATGATGAAATTAGGCTATGACTCAATGAAGAAACGACGCAGAAGACTCTATGACAGCGTCGATTAAAGCATCTCAGCAGCCTACATAAGTTTTTGAATTGTTTACTCACCTATTTACCCTAATATTTATTTTTTTAGGTGAGCTCAGGTAATATGATACTCAAAAATACCAATCTTGTATTAAGCCAGTGCTACTCATGTATATCGGTACTAATGTGGTGATCATTCTGATTTCATTGTACCTTTCTAACTTCAATCGACTGGAGTGGAAGTAAACTCGTCACGTCTTGAAGTTGTCACCTAGTGGGGGATACTTTCTAGAAATGCTGACTTTGTTGCAGTATTCACCGAGTGACCGTACTGAACATGTGTCAACGAATGACTGTTGATCATGGACAAAACGAGTATTGATAAGCACCAGCAACACGAAAACTGGATTCTCAAATCTCTGTATTCAAATTTGTTGCATTTCTGGCCCAATCAGATTGAATAAAAGTACAGAACAATGATATGCATTTTAATGTCAAATCCAAAAGAGGAAAAATAAACCGTACTGTAGAGAATAAAATATTTTTATTTAGTTACAATATTATGTAACCAAATCTTCTGGTTAAGTGCATGCGTTTTTATTTTTTTTTTGTACGTATAATTCAAAGGGTCCCTTCTCTGCTTGTGTTAAAATTATGCTGAAATATTTTTAATTATAGCAATTGCCTTATCACTTCTCTCTTAAACTAATTACATTTAATTATTTTATACAGCTTTTGAGCTGATCCTTAAAATTATTGAATCGCATCTGTAAGCTGCCGTATTCATGGAAAAAAATTTTAAGCAGTGGTGTTTGGAAATATGTAAGATAACATTCTAAATTACATTTTATTTGCTAAGACTATAACTTAAGGATTTGAGTTGAGTTCTCAAGCAAACCGGCTCCTAGAATATCATTCAGCACAAATGAGCCTGCGGAACAAAATGAATCATGTAATATATGATTCTGTAACACGGTTCAAGTAATTACTGAATGTCCAAAACATGAATAGCCTAAATATTGCATGATTATTGAAGGCTCTATGTCGACTAGATATGCGTCGAATCTTCGCGTTGATCATTGCAATGAGGATTCCCAAAACTAAAGGCATAGCATTAAAGTAAAAACGTGCAGAAAAACGTACGTACATTCAACCATAAACTTTTAGTTATACCGAGAACATGTATTTTTCATCAAGATTGTTATTACATATTTTGTCAGAGGTATCCCCAGAACAATTAAAATTGTTCGTTTTTTATGAGAAATAGGAGAAAATTTTTTGCTTTGATAGGAGACCAGTACATTTTGGCAATCTTTTTATGCGCAGCTGAAGACTTTAAATGAATACAATATTTATTGTAAATTAGGGGAAAAATTGTCAGAACCAACGCGGATAGAAGCGAATTATCGAATTTTCTCATCATTTCATTAAAATGATAGTGCCTTGATGCGCTGTATTACAGAATTTTGGCGAATGGTACGTCAAATCAGCATTTATTCAAGTATATCGCAATTACTCATTGGTAAACCTAAATGAGATGATGCGTACTGTTCGTTAAATAATTGGAAGAATAAAATTCAAGCGTTAAATAATTTATGCTTTGATTACCTTGCATTACCTAATACCTTACCTAAAGTTTCAAAAAAGTTTGGATAATTACTTAAACATTGATACCAAAGTCCGTGGAGTTTTTCCTATTTAATGGGTCCTGCCTATACAACATAAAAAAACAACCTCTTAATGTGTTTCTTAATCGTTAAACTATTACTCCATGCAGCAAGTAACAAGATTGAATAAACAAGCGATGACTCTTCATTAGAGAATTAATCCTAATGAGTTTAATTGAAACCTTGGTTCTAAGTACAAAAGATTTTGGGGAACGGCTTTTGATGCAATATTTAGTAAATGCAGATATTTCTTTCATTAATTTATAAAAGTGAAATGTTTTGATTTCCAAAAAAAAAAACACCTGAGTGCCCTAAAAGAAACATTACAAACACCATCGCCTGCTTAGAGAAATAATATTTTAAATAATTGCGAGCAATGGCCAAAACATGGTCCGGACTGATGAACTAAAACCTGTTCAACTTGGGCGATTCTGAGCAGATTTATTGATAAGAAACACACTTAATTATGTTAGAATTATCGACCACTAAGAGCCTTGAGTGTCAATTAAATCAGGCAATTTATTGCAGAGGAGCTTTTGGAGGTCGAGCGAGGATAAATTTCTTTCTTTACAATAGAGCGTAAAAGTACGATTAATTTGATGCTGTTTATTTGAAGATGTAAATAAGAACTCGGATATTTATTTATCGGCAAAAAGATTTAAAATAACTGAAGATGTAGATGATTAAGCTAACTTTCAAGTTCAAATCTTAGTGTCGGCAAGGAATGTGAACTCAAACAAGCTCCAAATGGTAATAGAAAATATTCACTATCTAAGAGCCGTTCACTTTAAATGAACTTTCAGCGTTAGCTATAATATTATTTTCAATGGATCTGGGCAATCGAAGTATATTATTCAAAATTTAACTTGTGTATGTTGAGGCAGCTGTGCAAACATTTCTTTTCTCAGAACGCAATTTAGCATGAAAATTTAATGTTGTAATATTTCTCACTGTAAAACAGTAAGACAAACTTTATCGGATTGGCTCACTGTGTTAATGTCACCAGGTTTTTTGCGCTATGATTACCGGTTAAAAAATAGAATCTAGCTGCCGTTCTAAGATCAACCAAATTGTCGGAATATATCCCGATCGCCGCACTTGTCTGCATCGTGTTAACCTTTCAAATCCATTTTCTAGGTGCCTTGCTTTGAAATCCAGTTTCTAGGTGCAGCTCTGGCAATCGTGATGCATTTCTCCACTTGGTGACAGCGTAAACTGTATTGTTCGTGTGTGAGTAACTCAGTGTTTTAGCTGCCGTGGTGTGGGGTGGTGTTAACTTTGTTGCTCCCGCTTACTCCACGTGATAGAATGGTTGTAACTAACGTGCTTTATGTTTGCTGCAAGGAGCTCAAATACATGTGAAATATGTTAAGCTAACGTTTGATTTAACGTATTCAAGTTCTATTTACGTGAACTGACCACAAAATTGTAAGCCTGCATTTGCGTGATTGCCTTATGATCTAAAGTTTCCTAGCAAGCGGTGATCACATATTTTCAAATTTTAGGGCTGGTACTAAAATTGGATTGATTACATTACTGGTGAAACCTGCGTGAAGGATGTGGAATATCTTAAATTCTTGGTTGTGTTTACAGAGATTTTATGGCGAAATCAACTTTAACCCTAAAATATTTCGCGTTAAGTCTTGGGTGGATGTTAAACAGGAACTTTTACCCATACAAACATATATAATCTAATCGATTCTTGAACATGTGATGATTTCGTGTCAACCCAATTTCATTCTAACTCCAATATTTCAACAGGCAATAAATTTCCATATCCAAGCACTACCTTTTTCGATGCACTTTTGCATTTGTTGTTGCTAACTTGATCGTGCATTTAATAACAGTTTGTTCAGTGATCGTACGTGCAATCGCAAGTTCAGCGATGCAACTCATGGTCTTTTTCATAGAAAACTAAGCGGTACGCGTGCTATTCCTAATGATTTTAAAGTATTATATATTGTTTACAGGAAGTGTGACCTGACCCAATTTTTTGAAGTTCTTAAACAATCGCGAGATTCAGAATTGACGCTGGAATTACCAGTTCTGGATGCAGCGAATTGAATATATGTTATAGGCATTTATTTACGCCAGGCTTCCGATAGTCGGAATTCGAAGATATTATCATGATAAACGAATTTTTTGCCGTCATTTGATGACTTTAAACCTCAATTTGCATATTAAACTGGCGTGAGTTAATTCCATGCGCCGCTGATCATTTGTTTTATTCATGAAAGAAGACTGATAAATTTAAGAAGATTTGTCTAATGCCGGCAAAATATTTGCACAGTTGGTGTATTAATTTACAGCAGATTAGTGAGAAAATAAATAACATTGATAAATATGCAGTCTTTCAACTGTCCTTGCTTCACTCAATGTACGTGTGCTTTAATCTATTGTGCATACTCATTCAACACATGCGCCTGTCTCTGCACGTAAACTTAGAATAACATACATAGAGGTTCAATGCAAGGTAATTTCATTAAATTATTTACATGTTCTCTTTCATGGTTTGCTTCTTGGCTTGCAGACCAGCTTCCAATGACTTATTTGTGAATCCCTCACGTGTATTGATTAATTTCATGAAAAAAATTGTGAATGACCTAAAGTTATGCGAAAACCGATATTAATTTCGTCAATTTTTCATTATTCATAATTGTAGATCTCGAACATTGAAAGGCAGAAAGAATTTATAAAATTGAAAGTGGTTTTACTTCACGCTACTTTAGGTTGGTTTCTCAACAAACTGAAAGTTACGTATAAAAAATAGAATGCCTTAACTTCCAGAGAAAAAGAAATTAACTGAAGGCTGAACAAACAGTTCTTTAGTTAACAATCTTTCAGCATTTCCATACCAAATCCACGACCAACGTCTTGCGTTAAATGAGTGCGATTTAGAATATGTAAATGTAACCTTATTACCCATAGCAAAAGGCTTTTAAATTAATCATTAATTCTTTTGAATTTATTGTATTAACCGAAATATTTTTAACTCTGTCAGAGATCCTCAATGGGATCGAGACTCGACAATTTTGAAGGAAACTCCAATATATTCGTAGTTCATTTTAAGCCAATTTAGATCCCGGACTGGTCGAATGATCCATATTGTCTCCCTGGAGCATATATATATATAATATATTCTTCCGCACAAAGCGCTTTAGATATTTCCAGAGGGTCCTATGGAAACTCCTGGGAAACGCAGCAGCAGTAAGCCTTGATACTATAGGAACCTGTACCTTACTGTTGGAACTGAGCTCCAAAAACTTTTTTGGTGATTTGTTTCACGGACATATCGATGTTTGCCACTCCAGGCCACAGAAGAGTGCTTATGCAATAACCAACAAGTAGCCAACTCATTTGGTTTTTAATTGAAAAATGAGACCTTAAGAAACTTCTATTGGCAGTGCAAATCCGGCAGTGTAAATATTCATTAGACTTAAGTTCAGCTGACGCTTCCGGCTCATCTTGAATACCTGCGAGAGATGAAGTTGACTGTAGCCTGTGTCTCGTCCTTCAGCTTAGTGAGCTCTTTAGTTTTGTTGTCTCAGATGCACTTGCGTATTTGTGCGGCGCAACCTCTTCTCGCAAGCATGATTGATAACATATTCATCAATAGTAGAGCGGTTGAGTTTGTAATTGTCACATTTAGTCAACGTGTAAAAAATTAGAATATGTTCTTATATTATTGTTAGAAGTTTTTTTTATCACACCACTGGCTTAACGACCAAAGTGAACAACAGCAACATCCATGATTCTGTTGATTATTACTTTATTTAAGATATTCTTTGAACAATGAGGTATTGGGTACACCGTGTACACTGCACAATGTACAGTAAGCTGTTGACATATGTATCCCTTCAGTTTTGCGCTACATCCTTCCGGTTTTGTAAAAGATTTTTAATTTATTTTATTTCTATTTTTTTTAGCTTCGGAAGAGAGTAGTTTCGTGGTTTGTTTCAAATTATTTCAAATCCAATATAGTTTATAAATTGGATATAATCTGAAAATTGACTTCGATCGTGACCCACAAGAAAAAATTGTCTACGTTACAGGGAGACCACATGTTCTCAGGATGAGTGATTTATTTTGACCTATGTAACCTCACTAATTTTTTCCCCAATCACCTTTATGTTTACTGTGAATTTTTAGTACAGATTCGTTAGTAATAAGTAAATATGGAATGAAATTTTCAAAGTGTACAAGTTTTACGGGTCTAACGGACTTATCGGCTTTTGAAAGTTCTTCGCCCGGGTGAGATTTTGAAATTATAAATTTTTATCACTGCTAATATCACACTGATTAAATAACAAGAAACAGTAGAAAAGGCAAAATAACTCCTTTCCGTATTGTTTAATCATAGAAATTTTGATATTTCTTAATCGACTCAGGTTTCGTTGCACAATAAAATTATGTCAGAAATTAATTTAAATTTGTTATGGTTAATGCACTAAGCATGACAAGTTAATATATATCTTGCAGCTGACGTTTTCACAATAATTCGCATTCATCAAATCTATACCATAGCTTGTTTACAACTCCATTTAGCCGCGTTACCTCATGAACGAAAACGTTCACAAAAAAATCAAGTGACCATTAATATTCAACTCAATTTCTTGAACAATCTTTTTTTTATACACTTATCATATTATCAAAACTACTGTTCCTCACCTCCCGTCAGGTTCTTCACGCCCCGTGAATAATGGACTCAACGCACTCCGCTTTCCAAGAAGGAGCTACCACTCACGAAGGAGCGCGTGAGTGGGAAAATGTAGAATACGATCGCACCTCTGGCGTCGTTATGAGCAACGGCGGCGTCGATGTTACTGGCCACGCCAAGGAGCTCTGTGTCAACAAACTCGGCCACACTATGGTCACGCCGCCGGAAGGTCAGCCTCATTAATATCTAGATATTTAGTTCCAGATATTCTAATTCCTGGGCTTAAGTATTGACACCAAAGAATCAAATGCATAATTGTTGTTTGTTTAGAGATTATGGCAAAATGCGGATAATGCTAACATTCTGATACCTATCAGTGTAATGAAAGTAACTGCCTGGCAATGTTTCAAATTGTTAAGGATAAATGCCTGCTGTCGGAACTTGATATAAGTTGTCGGCGATTTTATCCTTTGCATCTCTTACCTCTGAGCACGTATTGGAGCACTTTTTTTCCTATGAGCACTTATTGGAGTACATTTTTTTGCTGTGAGCACTTATTAACACATTGACTCCGATTGCTCCATCTTGTACCATTATTTCATATTTTTTTAGCTAATATGAAACAGGGTTGCCAGAAGGTCTTTTTTCCGGACAAATTCTGCCATTTAGTTCTTTAAATTGCGTTTTCAGCTAAAATTTATTATAGAGGTACTTCCTGATTTATATTTAAAAACTGCAAAAAAATAAAGGAATTATTACACCGGAACCTACATATATACTAGTATATATTGAGTTATAGGTCTTTATAGGCCTTTTATGTTTCGCTGACTTGGCCGTTTTTTAGTTCATCTGGCAACCCTGAATTATGTACAACTACGTCCTGGAGAAATACACTAGCTTCTTGTTACTCATATTGTACCACTTCGGAGTCAACGTGTTAAAGCACTTTTTTTCCTCGGAACACTTACATGTATATTTCCTATAAGTACTCATTATTATAATTAAGCACTAAATTCTTGCCCATTCATAATAGCACAAATGAATTTTTGAACTGGTTCATGCATGATTTGAACCATTCTTAACGCTGCACAGACGCAGAATTTTATCCTAAGCCGTCACGCCCCCACGGCAAGATGACCGGCGCGTCTCATACAGATGTGCACTATCTTGCTTGCTCAGGTGTGTATATAAGAATGCGTTTGATTTTCAAGGAACAATACGGCTGCTTTTTTCCAAGGCTGATTTTTAATTCATTTATTGCTATCTTCATTGAACTTTTATTTTTCACGTTTGAAATGATCAAAAAGTACAATATTTTTCTAAATTTTAGATTTTCGGGGTTTCATTTATTGCCTTAACTTTCCTTTCACTTTTATGTTATTTTCATCCGTATGATAAAAGCTTAAACAGCGCCTTGTCACCGAGAACCAACGATTCGGCATACTCATTAGTTGGAAAAACTTCTCTCATGATGGAGAAAAAATACGAACATTGTAATAATGCGGTAATACATTCAGACATCGTCTTAATTCATGGACTCATTATTAAGATATTATCCAGTTTGCATCAACTTTAAATGTTAATTTTGACTCAGAGACTCCTTTAACGGTCCATCAAAAGACTGTCGAAATTATTCGACTGTAGTTTATGCTGTCTCAATTTTTCTTCTACTTTCTTCAGTCATTTCCAATGTCTAAACATAAAAATCTAGGATACAAGAACAATCAGAATTCAGAAAACTATTTTTGAATTCTAATTTATAAAAAATACATTTGATACACTGCTGGCAAGAGCCTAACTTTCTAGAGAGGCAAGACTTGCAATTTATCAGAGTAAAGAGGAAGTCAGAGGCTTGTAAGAGTAATAAGTTTGAGCCAAAAATGTTTTAAATCCATTACTTCTTACGTGTCACTTGCAAATAATAGATGCGTAATATTCCTTTTCAAGAATTTATGCCAATTCTGAGCATAAACCATTTGTTTAAAAACTCGTATTCGAAGATATACTAATACGAAAATGAATAAAAATCAGTCTAATCGTCCAGTATAGAAAGCGCGATACATTCTGTCATGTGTAAGTGAAAAGTAGCATGCCGTCGTATGAGCTGCACACATGTAGACACGTGGACACTCGAGTAAATAACACATTCCTGAGAACACCTGTGGACACCAATAAATTTGTTCTTATTCTAGAACGATGCGTATATGGAACTGTACATTTAGCCGTTTTAAAAGACTCTCTTCTGCATTTTTCAGCTCCTCGTGTTTTACAGCTTAAAGAATATTTTCGTAAATTTTGCGTTTTGACGGACTTGTATTGTCTCCGGAAAAGTGGTGCGCCAGACGCTGCTGCTGGCATATACTGATAGTCTTGAGGAACAGGCTTACAATATATATTGTGATGCACTTCCTTTCTGTTATGGGCCCGCTCAGATTCAGCTGATCGTTTGATTGTCTCTCCGCTCTCAGTGAAGAGGTGCAGGTAACTTTCAGCAAAATAATATATAGATAATTGGAAACCGTGCAAGTAATGGAAGGTAGAATAAGTCTTTTAAAATCACTGATCAGTCCAAATTCTGCTGTGTATGGTAGTTTTATACATTCCTTTATTTCATCATTTGTATTAGAAGACCGATATTAGTAGCTTAACACGCAATCTTAGTAGCTTAACACGCAAAATTTTGCAATTAATTGCAAAATTTCAAGTAAAAATTTTCATTGTTACTTTTTAATTCAAATAACTAACAATTTGAATTATTTGAATTTCCCTTATGAGCTTGAAGCACTAATTGTAATAGAAATTTTCTAGAAAATGTATTTACATTTCGTTTCTCTGTGTGCACAATAGCTTTCCATACGATATACAGAACCAGAAAGTATAGCCCACCCATGCGATGCCGAGATTTGCCAAGGCTTACGTAAATATTTTTGTGATGGAGGGCGGCAGCTCAGGAAGCATCCAGGAATGTGGACGACCAGCTTACCCTTCCCTGGCATGGCTACTTGCCAGCTCCTAAAATCTTGCTAAATTTCTCCCACCTAAGCTTTAAACCTGCAAAACTGTACCCATTCGTTTTTGTACACTAGAATTTTGGGTGCAATTCATTTATTCGTTTGTGTGGTGAATGCTTGGTTATATGAATTCGATTTCCGTGTTTTGTCTGGTCGTCTAGGCTCTAGAGAGTAGACATTGTCGTCTCGAATTCTTTGCGCTTTCACGAGGATGGTCACTTTGCCATCATTATCCTGCCTCGTGCAAGTTCTCGTAAATATCTCTCATTTCCAATCAACGCCAAGTTGACCTGCTATATCACCTGAATCTTATATACCCGAGTTTGGAAAATGCTGCCGAATAAACCTCTCATCGTCATATTTCGTCTTTTCCTCTGTGAAAAAGACTACGTCACATTTTTTCGCAAATCAAGCTTTAGAATCGCATACTGATTCAAAAGTCAATGGTTTACTCATTCAAAATTACTCATTCAAAATCATTCAAAATTCAAAAAATTACTTGAATTTTGGCGTTCTCGACATCGTTCCCGAGAAATACCGGCTAACACTTCCACGCCATTCTACCCTCTTGCGTCGGATTGCCCTGTAAATAAGTTTACATTTAAATTGTTTCGATCTCGACATCGTTCCCGAGTGCCGGGCAACACTTCCACGCCAGTCTACCCTCCGGCATCGGATTACCATTTCACGATTAACTAGTCACGCCAGATTTCTTGGTATTACAAGTTATTACAAGTTATAGTAGTAATAATGGTTATTAGACCCGCTAAACAAAGCTTCAAACTTACTGCTAAAGATAACCATCGGGCCATCTGGCCTATTTGTAACAGGATTTTCACAGCTAACTGGGGTCGAACCAGCAACTCACTGCCCCCATATTGATGCCCTTAACATTAACAACTCGACCACTCTCCTGCTATTGAATGAAGAAGGATTTATCAGCCACAGACCGCAAGGAACGTTGAGTTAACCGGCGAACAGTGGCAAATGGTAAAAAAATTACTTATTGTAAAAACCATTATTGATATGCAACCTCAATTATATAAACTTATTCTGAGGAAATCTTTTACATAATTTATAATTAGCTTGATGTTTACTGGATTAGGGCAACATGGGGCAGCGCGCCCCCCCCCCCTTTTTAAACAAATTTTTTGATGAAGTTCTAATTGATACTAGGTGGTTCTTTGTTTTATTTAAAGGCACAACTAATGAAGAATGTATGAGGTGAATTAGACGCCTATATGTTTATTCAATTTTTAATTAAACACTATTTTGTAAAAAGTGTCAAAATGGGCCCATTGCCCCACCCCTGGGGTAACGGGCCCATGGGCTTGGGGCAAGGCGCCCACACTTGGTCCCTTTACCACAAATGCATATTTTTCGTTTAAAAATGAAAAAAAAACACTTTACAGTTAAAAATAAGAAAATGTAATAAAAAATATGACATTCACTCATTTATTAACAACTCAAAAAATCATATTACTTAACTTGAAAAAAATATACTCTTGGCTTAAAAAATCTATCACTGACGTGAAGAAAAATATTTCATTGCCATAAAAATATATATCCTTGACTTGAAAAATATATCTTTGCGATAAAAAAATCGTCCTAAACATGAAAAAATGTATCCTTGACTAGAAAAAATATATTTAGTTGATCAGAAAAAAAACTTCGTTCCAGTTTCGTCCATAATCCAGATATTATGCGCAGAGAATTCGTACCTAATCGTGATTTCAGCCAACACCATAAAAACTCATCAACTTTTGGCTCATTGGTGTTGGCTGAAATCAATTTTTGGCAAGGCAAGAGTTAATAACTCGATAAGGGGTCATAAGTAAGCATAACTGGATACTAAACCTGCTGCCCTGAGGCGGCAAATAAAAAAATCATGCAATATGAAGTGTAATTTGTAATTCAAAAAGCTAGTCATAGTTCGAAAAGGTCATTGAGACAAATCTAATGATGTATAACACAGGACATCACCATGGGCGCTTTGCCCCGTGACACGCGTGGGCCCGTTGCCTCACTAGGTATCATTTCAATTTATATCGTGTCAACATTTTATTTTAAAAGCTAATAGTCTACACTTGATCTAAAAATTATCCCTATAAATTATACTTTCAAAATATAATTCACAATAGTAGCAAAATCTTCATCTACAATAATCGAAAAAAAATTTATTTGGCAGCAACAAAATTTTTATCTGGACTAAAACAGTTATTCACGAATAACTTAATAACGCAAACACTTAGCAAAACGAAAACCCGTACACTTCATCCCAGTGAAACTGTCGACCGGCGGTAGAGAACACGGACCAATATCTGCAATACTTAGCGAGAAACCCGCTATGGGCCCGTGACCCGCAGTGGGCTCGCTGCCCCATGTTACCCTACTAGGAAACTTTCACTGAATTATAATACTTAAATTATCAGAAAATAACATAATATTTGCATTTCGAACTGCGTGCATGGAAAGATTGATCCCACTTTCCAGAGGGAGCTAATTTTTACTCTAGAGGAAACTACAATTACCCACAATTACCAATTACCCTCTATTTAGAGGGTAATTGTGGAACTTACTTCTCTGCAAGGATGATTTTCGGAAAATAACATCGCGGACATGAGGTCGGTTCCCAGCTCCACTATAGAAAATGAGAGTGGAGAATTTAAAAGCCCACGCAATTTGGTAAATGCTTGCAAGCATGCAAGGAATTTTCTAAATCTGCTTCTATCTGGTTTAATGCAACTTTACCAAAACTATGCTTTCACAGCAGTTTATATTTTCTAAGCATTGATCTTTGTATATTAATCGTGAGACCATAAGGGCTGAACTGAAATTTGTCAAAAGTATCTCGCCAAATAGTAGTGCTGATATTAGCAGTAAGCCGCCTTCCAGTTTATTTGCGCGACTCTTCGAGCGCCACGACGTTTTGGCTGTGCGCCAGCAGTGCGGCAAAGCCTCGTTGCGATAACTGCGCCCGTCTCTAGCTGGTGCCAGGCTGCCGCTCTGTAAAGACGATAGCGCGCTGCCCTGCCAACAGCTTCAGTCCTATACACTCGCTCCAGGATTTGGCTCAACACCCGCACTCCATATGATCAAAGCAAACCCCGGTGCGCCAGACGAATATGCATGGCGTGCACTGAATCAAACTGCAGAGCTAAATGTAAATACTCCGGGTACTCCCTGCGACGCGGTTTATAAATTTTTGAGAGACAATCAATTGTCGGACTTCCTACCGACTTGATAAACACGTTCCACACCAACGTGAATGGGAACTTGAGACCGCTTCATTTTGGTGTCAATAATTCAACTCGAACAGACAATACTCGAGTTTTGAACGTTTTGAGGCCATGTACCGATATTATTTGCGGGCTTCATTTGTGCCGCAGAAATCTTCAATTCAGACTGCTTGATAGAAAATAAAAAACTCTGATGATAATGAATCATTACCTACGCAAATCGGGTTTAGAAAGGTCAAATAATCAACTATTATTTTTCGCCGACATATATATTATACTTAACTGACAAGGAAAATTATACTTCGACATTGATTATTGAATTCCACGCTTCAGCTCCTGCTTACGAACTGATTCTTTTCAAATCAGTAACGACGTTGATTTTCTTCGTGACAGGAGGCACAAGCCGAGGCCGTTTCCGCGAGCTGTTCGGCCGGCACCGCCTGAAGACCGTCACTTACTGCGCCGTCTTCTGGAGCTTAGGCATGGGCGTCGCCTTCCTCGGCCCCACGCTGCTGGATCTCGGTGAGGGCGAGAGTACTTAATAAAGAGACTGAGGGCGAAATAAAAAAAACGAGCACGAAATAAGGACACAGTACGAAATGAGAAACTGAATACGAAATAAGAAACTGAGTACGAAATAAGAAAGTGAGTACGAAATAAACGGATATGCTGCTTATGGAAATCGATGGAATACGAACGATATTTGTGTGTTTTTTTATGTATGAAAACACAGAAATCTCAATAATTCTGCCCAATTCAATGTGGAGCTTTACCTCGAGCCATCGGGTAATTAACTACATAAATCTCCAATTAGGAAGATAGAAATTATCAGGCTCATGTATACACTTTTGTTCAAATATTTGAAAGTTCGAATAAATTTTTGCCTTGTCTATTTAGTGTGTCATAATTCAGTTGTCATGAGAGCGATATGTTGGATTAAAATTACAATCTATTATTATGAACACTCTAATGCTACATTATTAAGCTACTGATCATTATTTCAATTATAAAAGAAACTCAAGAATAAAAAATGAAATCTTGCGAAAATCAGAGGCATTCAGCTGTGAAACTCCAGGCTAGCTGACCTTGCCGTTGTAAACAATATGAACATTCTATTGCTCATGTCGAACTAGTATATGTCCGTATTGATTGACAGAGCTTGCGTTGCTGTAGCGAGTTTGTTTTTCATTCAATTCCTATCCAACGTTCATGTTTTCTATTGATTAGTTTTCATGCAAGTTTCTTCATTATAATGTAAAAGTTTGAATGTTTATTGGCACACATAGGCCTATTATCTACGTTTATCCAACTTTTTGTTGTCAACGGAACAAAAAATTTTCTTTTATTGAAAATTATTTTATTTTTGAAATGAATAAAATTATTTTTATTTTATTTATCTTTATTTTGACCAAGATTTTAAGGTTAACACTGCACTCTCACACTGCAGAGTGTCGGATCTCCTCGGTGTTCAGCAGCATGTCGTGGGTATTCTTCTCGCAGTCACTCTTCACGCTCATCGGGTCAGCGTGTGGGGGATTTATGGTGCAGAGGTAAAATTTGACAGCGGTATTTAGTTCGTTTCTGAATTACACTAAAAATATCCGTAAAAATTAGTGAACGCAAATAATGACATTACAAATTGTGCGTGCAAATCAGCAAAAGGTTGGTATTATTGAATATTTTTTATTAAATATCATAGCTGCATGCTATATGTTTCTCAGCGTTGTTATGCAATGGATTTTTTATCACATGCTTATTTTTACAAGACTTCTCTTTAACTTCACTTCTTGTTTGTTTGTCTGTCTGTCTGTCTGTTTGTCTGTCTGTCTGTCTGCCACAAATCTTATAATCGATATTTAACACACTTCTACCTGTCCAATCGATCTGAAATTTTGCACACTCGCGTAAAGCTGGAGACAATGCATGAATCAATTTACAGAATATATAATTTTATGAATTATATATATTTTTTTCTTTTTTAAAAAATTAAAAAATAATTTCGTCTGCTACAAATCTTATAATCCATATATGACACAATTTGACCTGTCCAATTGATCTGAAATTTTGCATAATTGCATAAAGTCAGAGACAATGCATGAATCAACTGACAGAATAAATAATTTAAAAAATTTACAAAATTTTGATATCTTAAAAAAATTTTGAAAAATAATTTTTTTTTCAATAGATGAAAATGAAATTAGAAATTCATTGTACATGTGTGACATCCATGACACTGGATTTTTCAGAAGTGTTGTCTTTAAAAAGTAATTTTTAAACGCATATTATTTTATATTCTAAGGTATAATACTGTATATTCAAGTCTGCTATCGTTTGATCGTGTTCACAAGCAGAAATTGCTTGTGTTCAGTTCAAGACTATAGTAATATGCCCGGTAAATTATATTTATTCTAGGGTATAATATATTTAAGTCTCCTATCGTTTGATTGTGTTCACAAGCAGAAATTGCTTATGTTCAGTTCAAGACTATAGTAATATGCCCAGTAATTTTTTTATTCATTCTAGAGTATAATATATTTAAGTCTCCTATCGTTTGATCGCGTTAACTAGAAAATATCGCTTGTGTTCAGTTTAAGATTATAGTAATAAGCTCAGTAACATTTTTATATTATAAGGTGCAATATGTTTAAGTCTTCTATCGTTTGATCGTGTTCAGAAGCAGAAATGGCTTGTGTTCAGTTCAAGACTTTAGTAATATGCCCGGTATTTTTTTATTTATTCTAGGGTATATTATATTTAAGTCTCCTATCGATTGATCGCGTTGACTAGAAGATATCGCTTGTGTTCAGTTTAAGATTATGGTAATAAGCTCAGTAATTTTTTTTTATCTTGTAATGTATAATATATTTAAGTCTCCTAACGTTTGCTCGTGTTCACAAGCAGAAATTGCTTATGTTCAGTTGAAGACTATAGTAATATGCCCAGTAATTTTTTATTTATTCTAGGGTATAATATATTTAAGAAATCCATATATGACACAATTTGAACTGTCCAATTGATCTGAAATTTTGCACAATTGCAAAGTCAGAGACAATGCATGAATCAATTGACAGAATAACTAATTTTTAAAATTTTCAAAATTTTGATATCTTAAAAAAAATTTGAAAAATAATTTTTCTTTTAAATATTTGAAAATAAAATTAGAAATTCATTGTACATGTGTAACATCCAAGACACTGGATTATTCAGAAATGTTGTCTTTAAAAAGTAATTTTTAAACGCATATTATTTAAAGATTTTTTTCGGACTTATTTTGCATAAATGGTCGAAAACCATTTAAGGGCTAGAGTACTCAAATTGTTTTAGTTGCGTTGATGATTAAATCACATTTGATCTTCATGCGTAGATCACATTTACTTTAAATATTTTATTTCAGCAACACTGTTACTTTTTTCTTTTCGTAATTACCCGTAAGGGGTAACATATGAATTCGATCGAAAAAGGATAGGACGATTTTCAAATTCCGATGAATGCTCACGTTTAAAGTCAAATTTTCATTTAAATTTAGTTTTACTAGTGTTTAATGAAGTGTCAACAATCAATCAATGAGAAAATTTATAATTATCATCTAAAAATCCTTTTAAACAAAAGTTAATCACTATGAAACTGACGAATTTTTAACATGCAATTAATATGTAGTTAACTGCACAATTAAACAACATGGCTTCTCGCACCCGGTGGTAGTTTGTGTTCATTGCCTCTATGCATTTCATGCCTGTGCACTGACTGAACCAACTATTCTAAAGGGTTGTATTGAATTTACTTACATACTTAACTGCCGCATGATTTCAGCGATTGTTTCGTGAAATTCTTCGACCATTTCTTGCCGGACTTCCCTCGCATCACCGAAAAAGAAAGGGAAGCAAAAACCAACAGGTAAGAGTGAAATGAAATAACCAGTTCATCTACTCGTAGAGATTTGATTCCAGCAGCCAAAAAGAATACGCTCACATCTAGGCTTTTTTATTCGTTTATACATTTAAAACGTATTAAAATTGGTGCACATATGAATAACTGATAAATCATCCTCGAACGCGCGTGTCCTACTTTTTTCTTCTCAAGCCAGACGCGCTAAACTATTAATAAATTTATTAATTTAATATTAGTTAAGGATGGCTCTTATTTTCTGATTTGTCATTAACCACTTCAGTTGCAAGTTTTATACAGCCACACAGTGTGCTAATAATTGACAGTTTCACTATTTTTAAGGGACCGTACATATGCAAGTAAATAAAGGATGAATTTACGCAAGCTTGACCAAAGACATGCTTCGATAAACGCAGAGGAACTGGTTAAGAAAACGATTACCAACATTTAAAATTGAATGCGGCGCGTATCGAACTAAAAATAGTCCAAATCCATAAAATAGTGCAAATCCATCACTGGCATGGACGAACAAATTAGGCACACTTGATTTACACTTGCCGCTGTTTGCAGCTTAGGTTTACACTTGCCGCTGTTTGCAGCTTGGGTTTACACTTGGTGCTGCTGGGTTCTGTGGTGATGTTTGCTGTTACGTTGACGGTGGTGCCGGAGTGCTCGGTGCTCGGGGCCCTCATAACCACGCTCGCTGTCATGGGTTTCTTCATGGGCACTATCGACACCGTCGCCAACATCTCCATGCTGCAGCTCTACGGCAGAGACGTCGCACCTTTCCTCCAGGTCATCGAAGCAAATAATGAAATTCGAACAGTTAAAATTTTCTTTCGATTATCAATCTCGTAGTAGATACTTTACTTGTGAAAAATGCTTCATGAAACTGAAATGTCATTAATATATTAATTTCAGAAAACCCGGGAATAACTCTTCTATGTATCTGCAGGCGCTGCATTTTTCCTACGGTCTTGGTGCATTCCTATCGCCCATTGTGACGAAGCCTTTCCTGCTGAACGAAGACTGCAACGGCCTCGTGCTGAACAGCTCGGTAGCTCACCGCCTCCTCGACGTACGTCTCGTCAACATAACCCAAGAAGCTCAGGCTGAGCTGCATCACGCACAGAACAATTCTGAGATCCAGTACGCATTCTGGATCATGGCTCTCATGCAGGTACCTTAATGGTCGCTTAAACTTTGCTTAATTGACCATTCATTTTTTACAAACGGATAAGACAAGCTATGCGTTTTGAGATTTCTCAATCAATCCTGACGATACTGAAGTCCCAAGATTGAGTTACGATAAAATTGTATGTTTTTTTATAATTTTAACTTATATTGTTTCATAATGATGTTCCGCGGAGTATTTTTCATCTAACATATTTTGTTATTCGTCAAAATCAATAGCTCAAAAATTAAACAAAATTTTTACAACGCCTCCATCGCTCATCATATGGTTATCTTGCCTACAAATTTAACGCTTTATCCTCACAAATAGATTCACTACAAAAAAAAAACAGTTTCAATGCACAAGCCTGGGGCTATCGAACTTCAAAATATTATACAGAATGGCAGATTTACTTATTATGCCACATATACACATACACACAATTTGTCGTCAGTCACACATGATAACCCGGAAAATTTTCTTCTCACCTTGCAACTCGCGTGTTGCGGTTGCCAGCTGCCGGTGGTGGTGCTACTGGCGGTGCTCGTCTACTACGACTACTTCCCGGTGTCTGGGGACGCTGTTGTGGTCGAGACTCTCCCCGAGACTTTCGAGCTCAAGACCCAGAATATCACGGAGCCTCTTGCTGCCTCCCGCAGTATAATGCCCGACCTCAGGGATGAAGGTAACTTTCCATGTGTAATTTTCGTGAATTAGTGCTTGCCATTGTGGAAATGCTATCAGCAACAATCATTAGTGTGAAATTAACTGTGGTATGAAAGTGATGTAAACTTTTCTATAAACTATCGTCTATTTTTCTTGATGGATTTTGTTGATTAGAATTGTGAATGACTATTTTGCAGCCTACCATGGATATTATGCCAAGGTTATAACATTCATTTCTCAATTGCAGAGGACAGGCCTCAAGTTACCGCTCGGCAGATGGCGCTGGTGACCGCATGCGCCGCGGGATTGCTCTTCATTTACGACGGTCTGCAGGTAAAACTTTAAAATAACTCGAATTTTCATGATGACCCCAAAAATCAATAAAGGAGAGAAATCGAGGTCGCAAAGCACATAATATAAGTTATTTTCGACCGACATACATATTATTACAATATCTTTGTTTTGCGCATTTTTTAAAACCGTGTTCATGATATGTGCTTAGTATTAATTTTAGCTGTTACTATTTTGCGATGTAATTCGTAATGAAGCTTTAGAATTATTTTTGATTAATTGAATCATAAATTAAATAGTAATTTTATTACACCAAAAATGTTGAAAAAATTACCCTATGTTGCTCCATCGGTGGAATAAAAATTCAATAAGCAGACGAGTATATTTACACTGAAGACAAAAATACCTAAATTGGCCAATGTAAGACGAAGTTACGTAAAAACGTATTGTTCGACATTTTCAGGTGTTTAAGATCTTTCGGTGGTTTTCGACAGAATTTCTGTTGAGAAATATGCAATGAATCCTAAATCAGGAATTGGAGGCTAAATTTTCAATGTAAATTTAAAAATCTATTTCACTTTATTTTGTTGGATTTATGAACTCATGATGGAGCTGATGTCCGTGATGTTTGAAATGAAAATATTATAAAAGAAATTTTTCAGACTTAAATTATTGACAAATGAATCTACGCCCATTTAAAGTTGTTCTGTGCAATAAACTTAAATCTCAAGCATATCAGAGGTCCCATTTTCTTCAGCATGACGACAAATGTAACTCTTCGTTGATTCAACACGTTCTTATTCAGGCGGCGTACGGCGGATACATTTACTCGTACGCCGTGAAGAGCGTGGCCGACATGGCGCAGAACGAGGCCGCTGTGCTTAACGCCTGCTTCTGGGGCACATTCGCCTTCGGACGTCTTATTTCTATTGGCATCGCGACGCGCATCACCCCGCAGTGGATGATGCTCGCTAATATGGTGAGGAAACTTCATCACTCCGCAGTGGATGATGCTGCTAATATGGTGAGGGACCTGCCACACAACCATGACATTCATCACCCCGCAGTGGATGATGCTCGCTAATATGGTGAGGGACCTGCCACACAATCATGACATTCATCACCCCGCAGTGGATGATGCACGCTAATATGGTGAGCGACCTGCCATACAACCATGACACTCATCACCCCGCAGTGGCCAGATATAATTTTTTTAATCTCTATTACAGCATAATCTTATTTTAAATATGGTGACGGCACAAAATTCTAAATTTTCACAAAAATTATATGAATAATTTTACGAATGATTAAAATTTGGACAACCGGGCTCAGTGTGTGTACAATATTTTCCTTGTCAGCCTTGCGTTCGGCCATTATGTCAAGTCCAAGAGTTACTCCAGCCGGATAGTGTTATAAATAAAAATATTATTTAGCAATAAGAAATAATTTATTTGATGCAATAAGAATGTAGTAACATGCTTAGCGATTTTTTTATTTGTAGTTTTCATGTCGGAACTCAAAATTAGTATGAGGCGGTAACAACGTTCACACTCATTACGAGCGAACGTCGGCACAAGTTCATGACATCGATTGAATTGCGATTGTTTAAATTTTTGCTCGTCAATATTTTTAAGTGTCCCGCCTGTTTGGAAAATGATAACGATTCATGTCACACAGCTGCGAAAAAGCATACAAATATTTTACACCTAGAACATAAGACGGGCAGTTTCGGGCTGAATGTGTAGAATGTTTTTATCAAATAGAAACTAATTTATCACTCAAACCATGTAAATAACCGGCCATCTATTACATCTCTTCAAAACATTGAAGAACACACGGTATATGAAATTTTCACTTTCCCATTGAACTGAGAGGTGACAGTGACCGTAACATTTTTTTTTATTTCACAAGACGAGCTGTTTCGTGGCGATCGCGATCATTTCGTCGCAAAAATATTGAGCTATGAGGTGACAGTGATCACAATATTTTTTTTTTCTTTTATAAGACTGGCTGTTTCGTGGCGATGGTGTTGATGCTGTCGATGCCTCACGACCACGCGATGCTCTACGTCGGCACGGGGCTCTTCGGTACCTTCCTCTCGTCGGTCTTCCCGACGACCGTGTCCATGACAGAGACTTACATCCATGTTACTTGTGAGTAACGCATGCATTCATACATTATGAACTATTACGAATACAGTATGTGATTTACTGATTGTGAACTAGATTTCATTCATGTCAAATAAACAAATGTTCTCGTAACCTTTTACATGCTCAAATATAACCTTCAAAAAACGCATTATTTATGGATCAGAAAAAATAAGGTGTACACTGACGTAAGTAACTTTAGTTGTATTGTTGCGGGAGAGCTATCAACATATATATGATATCCGTCCATTATGTCCGCGATAGTGAAAATGATTTAAAACCTTATTCGATCAGAGTTGAGACTTTGCAAGATTTTATTGCGTAGCTATAAAAAGTACATTAGGTGGCCCACTCTCAAAAAGTCAAACAAATACATTGGTCATGCTTGGCCGCCCTGACGTCTTCTGCGTATCTTCTTCAGTCGATGAAGGTTCGCAACATGTACGTCGAGACTAGTGCGTCACACTGACGTAGTAGACCTAAGCGCATCCGCTTATCACAGTCATTGCTTGACGAAGTTTTGGGCTGCCAGTATCCAATCCAGAAATTCAGCGATGGTCACGGTTACATTCACCAATGCAGAACACTAGACACCCTTTCTTCTCATTCAGAGTAGGTCCAGGTACGTAGGTAGACTTATAATAGAAAGAGCCCACTTCCACCTGAAATAATCAACAATTGCACGGGAAAATAAATGGGAAGTTTACCCTAAAATTACAGGAACAAAGGAACTCAATTGGGGAATATATCAGAATTGATCTAAGGAACACGAGGTAAAATATATAAATTGAAATAATTAACTTTCCAGCCATTGGTATTATGGCAGTACTTTATAGCAGCATAAACAAGGATGACAAAATTCTTACTGTCGGCTAATAAGCTTACCCGCCACTCAGGAAGAAATCGTGAAAGGTACAATGGTTGCAACAAATGAATAGACATGAAAAACAGGTAGTTGAGGCTAAAAATTAACGACATTCAACTGAATACACGTTACGAAGTCTTCGCAACCACAACCGCAACCGCTGAGCGAATAAAATGACAGGGAGTCAACGCAGCCCTCTCTACACGTTGCCAGCGTGAACCTGGTAAACATATGACGGACAAATAGCGCAGTCTTCTAGTCTTATTACGGTAGTATTTTTATTATTTCGTTTTTGAATATTGTTATTGTTCTTACATAAACTAACCTGCAAATAATTGTCTTCACACTCGTCATAATATGCTTTTGAAGCTCAAATCACAAGCGTCCTCGTGATGAGCGCTGCCCTGGGAGAGATGGTCTTTCCCGTCATCATTGGACACGTGAGTGATTAATTAACTTGATCATAATCAATATAAACGCTCCCATCTTACACTTCAGCAGTATTTACTTTTTTTTATATTGTTATAATATATTTTTGCCCTTTAGAGGATAAAAGAGGTCATTAGCCATTTCATTATGAAGTTTTAGTATTATATTTTTCAATGTAGGTAAATTTGTTAAGATGATCAATGTTTGAATTATCGAATGTTTGAATTATCAATCTTTGAATATTTTGCAATTTGTCATACTCATCTTTTTACAAGACTTCTCTTTAACTTCACTTCTTGTTTGTTTGTCTGTCTGTCTATCTGTCTGTCTGTCTGTCTGCTACAAATCTTATAATCGATATTTAACACACTTCTACCTGTCCAATTGATCTGAAATTTTGCACACTCGCGTAAAGTTGGAGACAATGCATGAATCAATTTACAGAAAAAATAATTTTATAAATTATATTTTTTTTTTCATTATTAAAAAATTAAAAAATAATTTCGTCTGCTACAAATCTTATAATCCATAAATGACACAATTTGACCTGTCCAATTGATCTGAAATTTTGCACAATTGCATAAAGTCAGAGACAATGCATGAATCAATTGACAGAATAAATAATTTTAAAAATTTACAAAATTTTGATATCTTGAAAAAATTGAAAAATATTTTTTTTTAATATTTGAAAATAAAATTAGAAATTCATTGTACATGTGTAACATCCAAGACACTGGTTTTTTCAGAAGTGTTGTCTTTAAAAAGTAATTTGTAAACGCATATTATTTTATATTCTAAGGTGTAATATATTTAAGTCTCCTATCGTTTGATCGTGTTCACAAGCAGAAATTGCTTGTGTTCAGTTCAAGACTATAGTAATATGCCCGGTAATTTTTAAATCCATATATGACACAATTTGAACTGTCCAATTGATCTGAAATTTTGCACAATTGCAAAGTCAGAGACAATGCATGAATCAATTGACAGAATAAATAATTTTGAAAATTTGCAAAATTTTGATATCTTAAAAAAAATTTGAAACATAATTTTTCTTTTAAATATTTGAAAATAAAATTAGAAATTCATTGTACATGTGTAACATCCAAGACACTAAATTGTTCAGAAGTGTTGTCTTTAAAAAGTAATTTTTAAACGCATATTATTTTCTATTGCACTCACGATTAGAAACGCTTTAATACAAATAGTAATAATTTCTGCCCACTATAGCATTATTATTCTTTTTAACAAAAATTACCTAACAAAAATCATCCTGTAAATAACATTGACGGCAGGAATTCGACTCATCGGGTCCGAAGGTGCTGCTGATAAGCGGTGTCGTGATGACGTTGTTGTCGTTCGTTCTATACTTCGCCTTGTTCATCGTTGCGGACGGCATCACTCGCGTCTCATGTGAGTACTGTGAGTCACTAGTAGTGACTCACTAATCAACTACAACTTTATCCTATGTTGATATATCTTCCTTCTTTACCTGTTGAGAAGAACATGCTAATAGAGTGCTAATACGAGGGGCATCCGGAAAGTAGTACCGTTTGGGAATTGAACAAAAGGAAGTAAATATTAACAAATGTAAACATGTTTATTGAAAAACATGTATTACACTACTGCTGTACATAATTTCCGGGCAAATTTAAGTATTTGTCGGATCGTGTCACGAGTTTTTGTTTACCAGTGTCATATGCCTCCGCCGCCGGTGTATTGAGATACGCAGTCACGTGTTCTTATAGTTCTTTAACATTTTGAAACTTTGTCCCTGCCAAGAAGTCCTTGAGTTTCATAAACAGATGAAAATCTGAAGGAGTCAAGTCCGGAGTGTAGGGTAGATGGTCGAAAATTTCTCACTTGAATTTTTGGAGAAGTTGTTGTGTTGTCCGAGCCGTATGCGGCTTGGCATTATCGTGCAGGAGAATGACGCCAGTAGACAACAGACCTCGCCGTCGATTTTGAATTGCCCGCCGTAATTTTTTTAATGTTGCACAATACGCATTGGCATTGATTGTGTCTCCACGAGTCATGAAATCGATGAGCAGTGCACCTTGCCGATCCCAGAAACACTGGCGGCGGAGGCATATGACACTGGTATACAAAAACTCGAGACACGATACGACAAATGCTTAAATTTGTCCGGAGATTAGGTAGAAAAGTAGTGTAATACATGTTATTTCCAATATACATGTTTACATTTGTTAATATTTACTTCCTTTTGTTCAATTCCCAGACGGGTACTACTTTCCGGATCACCCCTCGTATAATCGGTTATTGGCACATGAGAGTGGTTGGCAATTAACACTTTGAATTATGCATAAAAAATAAACGATTTGGTAATTGTAATAGTGTTGATGGGAAAACCCGTTTATTGCACTTTTACTTTCCTGGTGCAGCGGAGCGAAGTCTGACTGAACGATTCAAGGCTTTGTTGAAGGGCAAGACTGTCTCCGACGAAGGCATCGGTCTGATGACCCACAACGTCAAGCATTACAACCGAATGCGATCTCACCCCTCAGACATCTCTTTGAACGAGGAGACCTCCTTGTCCACAGCTCCAGTTGCCAACCTCTAGAGACATACCTTTCCCTTCACTTCTTCTACGTCAACCTCTATTGATATGACTTTATTTCTCTAGGGCCACAGCTTCTTATTTGCGCCTTTTGTCGTCAATCTCTAGAGCCACAACATCTTTTCCACCTTCTCTGTCGTCAATCTCTAGAGCCACAGCATATTCTCCAGCTCCTCTGTCGTCAATTTCTAATCACATTTTCGTCCTCAGTTCTCATTTCACTATCAATTTCTGCCACAAATATTCTTCGCCCTGTCTCGTACTAATGATACTATAATGCCACACCTTCTTCTCCCTCACTCCTGTCACTAACCTCTAGTGCCACGTCCTATTTACATCACACCTCTAACAATCACCTGAGAAAACTTCTTTAAATTAATTCAATTTTCTTGTGCTTCAATTCCCAGTTACGGAATATTTAGAGTTGCCTGTAATTCCACTATATTTTTCAGAAGGCACATATGAGAGTCATTCTAGCTATCCAATAGTGATATGTACACAAAATGAAAAATTTGCTCTTCGCTTAAACTTCTATTACCTATAACTGGATATAAAAGTTATAGCTTTCAGTAAAATTGGTTCTATTTCATGCGATGGTTCTCATATTGTGTTACAGCATCATTTTTTAGCTAAAAAAATAGCCTCTGTCTAAAACCATTCACCATTTTTACAACTGATAATTATTTCATGTATTTTCCTAAACGAACAGTTATTTTCAATGATGGAGCACAAGCTTTCTCGTCTTACGAAACTTCCGAAAACTCTATTGCGCAAAAAAAAAACGAATATATGAACATATGAATAATATATCATTCATGTATTACAAAATGTTCTAGTTTTTATCGAAGAATTTGTTAAAATTAAATACCTTACCAATCTGTCGGTCCATAACATTGGTATAACACTGAATAACATTGTTGAACAGACATAATTGGATATATTCGAAAATAATATCATTTAATACGACTTGCCACCATGCAGTATCTTAATTAAGCTCTCGGCCAAAGATGAAAACTGCTAAAAAAATTATGCGAAGAATATTCGTATATTCACTCTGTCGTTTATGAAAACAGTAAACTTAGTGTACAAAGCCAATCTTATCCGTCTCATTTTCAATTAATATTATGCCTGCCTCTTTGTTGAATGTATTCAGGATTCCCTGCATGCATTTTTTTTCACAAATCACCCACTAGTTAATAGCCAGCGTGTATTCGTCTGAGTTAGGTTGCAGGATCAGTTCGTTATCTGGCTAGCAGGTACTTTAATCGAATGGTACAGATGGCACCGGTGAGCTCTAGCTTGAAATATCCTAAGTTAATTTTTTGATGCTCATGCAATAACATTCCAAAGTAATGATAATGAACGTGTTTCTTTCAGTCGATGTTATTGCCCGGTGTTTTAATTTTCTTTTCTATATACGAATATCCTCGTAATGAAGTGGAATGGACTCACTTGAGTCTTACTTCATAAATATTTGACGAAACAGTTGTTACTTACTGTGCGCGATCACATTAAGTCTGACCTTTTTTTTGTTCATGTAAGCCATTTACTGTGATATTGTCTCATCTCGTTCCATAATTCTAAGTGTACTAGAATGAGTATTCGCTCTCAGGAGCATTTTCGGATTAAGGTTCGGTAACTTTTTGCTACGGCCTTCTAACCGGTAAACTTTTTACCTAAGTTATTACATAATTAATCAAACTACGTAATGCTTAGAGTTTCAGTAGATTATATACGAGCTTCACTTATTAGCAATCACCAACCTTTGTCTGAAGTGATTAAGATGAAGCACTTTCCTCACTTTGGTGGGGGAGCGCAGCCGTGCACCAACAATTTTGTGCACCAATAAGCCCTGAATCGAACGCCTTGGATCTCTCCGGACCTACACCAATCAGCCGTGCACCACTCGGCTTTGTCCTCTTCCGGCCTTGACCACCACCTGCCGTGCACCACCAGACCGCGGATCGAATATGACTTCCAGGCATCGTTAAATTTCGTAATTTTACGTTCACCGCATCTGAGGTTAGGTTTCAGATAGCATAGTTCTGTTCCAAAATGTATCGTCCTTCGACAAGTGGCCGTTCGACCGAGAGCTGGTTCGACCCACGGCCTAGATACGGACGGCTTGAAGTGTTGAAGGCAACGTTCCGGAAGGCAGGAATCATGATGGTCCATTACATCCAGGGCAGTGGTGGTCTTCGGCAGGCGACCCCTTTGGTGGCATCCAAAGGACTAGGTGAAGACGATACGTCTAGCATTTCTGGATCGTGGATGAGCAAATAATTATAATATTATCTCCTTTTTCGCATGCTTTTCCTATAACTTTTCTAACTCATAAATATTTATATACATAATATATTCATTAAATTGGTATAGTGGAACAGTTTCCTTGTCCAGTTCGACGGCATTCTTTCCTGCATAAATGACCGGTCGTTGTCATTGCGAGGCAGCATGTGACTGCATGATGTCAGATAAATTTTATTATCAGTTTACCAAAGAGCGAAAGCCAACATTTTTAAACATTCAAAGGCAATATTAACAGAATTAGGAACCAAAAAACTCAAGATTCGAAATTGCTGATTTCCTTTCAATATGCCTCATCATGAATTCACTTGGATTGCATACTGTCAGAACAAACCACAGAAATAATCCAAAATTACTAATTCCTAAGTCAGTCTTCCACCGACCCGAGGCTTCCAAATAACAATTGCTTCCGTCTTGCATTGAACTGAATGAACGATATAGCAAATGGAAGCGATGTACTATGATAGCAAATGGTAATGCGAGTTTTCTTTCATTTTTAAAAATCCTGTCCATGAAGATAACGTTGTGATCGGTAGGTCGCACTCACGAAGCTAGTTATTAATAACTGCAAGGTAATGAAATAGGATGAGACGAATATTATTTAACGATTAATTACAGTATGACTATTTATTACATGATTAACAAATTATTACGTATTAATTGCATTAATAACCAAGAATGAAAGAAGACGATGTGAAGAAGTAAGTAAACTACTCTAGATTGTCTGAATAGAGGTTTTGGTGTTAAGATGTTACTAGTGAGAATACGAGTGCCTGCTAATATCCCATGCTGTTTCATTAGCCACAATATTGTAGTCACTTAAGAAAATATTTAAATTACACAATATTGTTACGTCTAAACCTATAATTATATACACTGTGAATAAATCGTTGTTGTCGACAAATTCCTGGTATTTTATTAAACCAACTCAAACACCTGAACTCAGAAACTACTATGATAGACGACTACCTACATGCAACAAACGCTTAGAGAAATGTGTGCGATATTGTCCAAATAGCTATGCACTTTTGTTGCCCTCGATTTGGTCATACTGACCAAATTTGGCCCGACAAAATGGCGCATGATTGCAACATGCAGAAAGTGTGTCACTATTTAGACAATATAAAACATTCATTCTTCTGAACGAGTTATAGGGCATCAGGTTTGCTCCTTTATTCTCTTCAAGCCTGTGCTGATGGCTTCTTCAAGTGACTGCATGCCGGCCTCAGGACGAGGCTGTGGTCTTCCCCTAGAGTTAGGGGCGTAGTAGTCTAACGATGGAGGTGGTGCCACTTCAGCTCTTTTGCGCTGAGGTTTCTCAACGCTGGGAACAATAATTTCGTCAAAAACAGACGAAGTTTCGTATTTCTTACCCACGGAGGAAAATTTCCCAGCGCACTCGTTGACAATTTCCTTCTGATCGCCTTGGCGCTTGCAATTGTGTCGTCGCTGAGCCAAGTCTTCGTCCCTTAGTCGAGATGATAACGAATCCGACCTAAAACTGTCACCAGATTTGTCATTAAACTTCCTCTTGCTGTCTTTATTTCGTCTGTGATTACCAGAGTGCCCGGCTGTATCATAGCTGGTCGGCGGAGCGAATTCATTGTTTCTCTGTGACCTCTGTCGGTCTACCCAGAGTTCTTGGGTCATCTCGACAGGTCCGCCCAATGCGTTCTTAGAGTTGAAGGTGTCAAGGTTGCGCTCCGCTGGCTCCACCAGCTTGCCTATGAGTTGCTTGCCGACGTCCCACTCCCGCAAGGGCGCGTCAGGACGTTTGGCAGGAACATCTTCCGACGGCAACAGTGGCTCCTGATACTCCTTGTCCTCCTCGTCCGATTCCGGTGGAGTCTTCAGCTCCTCAGATTGGCCTGAATCATGAGAATTGTCCATCAACACTTACATTTAATTTTTCTTTGATGAAATATGGTTAAAAAGAAAAAAAATCAGAAACTGGTCAAACGAATTTTGTCAATCAAACATTTCCACTATAGCAATGTCGCAATGATTTGATCACTATAGATCTGAATCTAAGTCTACGTAAATACAGGAATTTGCTTTAAAAGATCTTTAAAAAGAGTTCTAATAAAAAGCCGTGAGAGAAGTTAAATCCTAAATACTGTTATATTTTAACCTATTCAGGTTGATATATTTACACCATTGCATCAGGACTAACCCGTCATAGGCAAGCCTTGCTTGAGCCTCTTCCTCTGTCGTATCTTGGCAAGTCTTTGCGCCATGCCGCGCTCCTTGAGGCGCGCGTCGCGCTTGTGTTGCCGCGCCGCCGCCTCACTGGACGCGTGCAGGTCGCGCAGAAGCTGTTGCTGCATGGCGCGCGTTGCCTCGTCCCCTGACAGCGCCACGAAACCCACGCCGTGCGTCCGAGCCTCTGCAATATCACAGCCAATTTAATGCCTTAATTGCTAATATAAATATCTTATATCATGCATGAAAGAAATAAAATATGCATAAATGCATATCTTATTTTATTCTTTCATCGCCAGATGAAACATCGTTTAATGGCCTAATTGTTTTAAATTCATATTTTGTTGTTGTTAGTGATGTTCATTGTGAATGTTTGGAAGTACTGATGATATGAGCTGACGATGAACTCACTTCAACTCGCAAAATTCAAACATTTACTATATCACCTTCTTCAAATCTACAATTTCAGCTGAGACAATACCTATACAATTTGGCGTATGAAAATCTGTTACAAGAGCAATAGAGCTATTGAAACATTTATTATACATAGACAAAAATATCAGCAACAGTAGAGACCATCAAACATGACGTCCTGGTAGTGGACGCTAGTCTTGGTCGCGTTGAGGTCCTCCTGCTGCTGCCAGCGCTGGCGCTGCTTCTCCCTGTACTGCTCCTCGAACGCCTCCTGCCGCGCCGTCACCCCTTCGTCCGTCGCCAAGTCTTCCTCCGCTTTCTGAACAACAGAAAATCAGCGATTATGACCTAAGCTTTTCGCTTTCGAAGCTACAATTATTCATATTGCAATTTAATCTCAATTTTATTTACCAGGATTTTTTAAAGTGATAGAATACGCCGCTCCGAATTCACTCCAAAGCTCTTTTAAATCTGATCACTGTCGATCACTTACTCAATGACTCTCAACACATTATTCATAAATGTTACAATGAGTTCTGAGACCTGGTGCTCATTAAGGAAGAAATTTAACGCAGATAAATATATACGAAATAAAAGCATAATGAAGAAAGATAAGTAACGCGAAGCTATGGCGTAGTCAACGAAGGCGGACCATCAGCTTGACCGTGGACTACGCAGTCCTAAACTCATTATAAGGTCATAAGGTCCATGCAGACGACACATCAGCTGCCTGACCTGACCGCGCTCCTGGCCGCTGAGGAAGCGGTCTTGCTCCAGCAGTTCGGGCAAGTCCCGGCGACGCACCTGCCGTGTTCGGCCCAGCGCGTCCACGTGCTCCACCCTGCAGTATATGTGCTTGTCACTGGCAAGGTCTAAAGTTATTCAGGTTATTCCAGATGCCTTTACGTATATATAGCTTAAAGCCCTTTACTTAGATACGTTATTCAAACTTGCATACAAATAAATCTTACAGACGACTAGAAGATAACAATGTTAGTGCAACAATCTCCAAAAGAGGATGAATTTATTTGTAATGAGAATTACAATTATAGTGGGATAAAGATTCGTGCAATTACTCTATTGCTACTTGCTACAATAGAATACTACATTATACTAAAGTGATACGTCGTAGTATTTCTGACGCTTTGGTTCACTTTTTGCAGTACAAGCTCAACCGATATCAACCCAGTAAAAGGTGTAAATTAATTACCAGGATTTATTCAACAAATAATTCGATTCATACATAAAATAATGCCTATATTAAAATAAAAGTTAACCTCTGATCGAATTACTCCTCTGTTATTCATAATAAAACTAATCCAACTCACACTTGCGATTTTACATATTTTAACATGAAGGGATTACGCAGAGTGGCATGGTTTGAACACGCATCCCGCGTAAATATAAGTGATCAAGTGACAACCTCACCAGTCATCCAGATCCCCGACGTCATGCGCAGAAGACGAAGATTTTTGATCCCGTTTACTTTTCTCGGAAAGGACGTTGTCTACGATTTTTTTCTGCAACAAGAATAATTAAGTTTTAATCTTCAAGTTTCGTTTCGTTGTTCATTTGGAGTGTTTTCATTGATTAGAAATCCTAGCAAAACTGCCGATGCATTAATACATAGCACGTCGATTAGGAAGCATCAGTCAATCGCAGGAACATCTTTCTTCTCCGATTCGAGATTGAATAATTGCATTGACCCGCAAAATTTCAATATATATAGGTATTGTTGTTGGCCATAATATAAAATTCAAGTTCTTATGAATTAAAATACAAAATCTAAAGGATTGGTCACAGGGAATAAGTTAGAATGAGTTATTTTGATGAATTCTACTTGAATATATGACATGAATTTCATCTACGGTATATGAATTTCAACCAACGCTGGCACTATAAATACCTGGAAGTTGATCAGGAAGCTGTTGTTGAGGGCATCATCTTCCAGCACCGCCACCCCAGCCTGCAGCTTGTCGTACAGAGCTGCCTTCTGCTCCAGCACAGATCTGGTCTCAGGTAACAATTAAACAAGCTATGACAATTAAGTTACAACAGGCAAGAACCTACTTTTAAAACCAGGTTACCGGAATTGAACATGTTAAAGCAATTAAATTTTAACGGGAAAACACCTTCAAACCGTATCATGAAATTGTTGTTGTATTGAACGGCGTCACTATAAAAAATATAACTCAGTACTCACTGCAGTGAGTGACAGAGAGCGCATTTTCTCGTCGACGAAAACGTGAAGTTACGGACAGACAGACGGACATACGGACGGACATGACGAGCACAATAGCGCCTTTTTTTCATAAATGAGAAAATGCGCGCCAAAAAGAACCTTTTAGATCGTCTGTTCATAACATAATAGCATTTGATCTTTGCAACGTTAATACTGACACTAGAAATTTCGATAAATTAATTTTTGTAATTAGTAATTTTCTTATTACAAAGTTAAACATGGACAGCCGCATGCGCATGATGCATTCTATTTACCAAAGTAAGTTATTCACTCCGTATTCATTCTGTATAACCTTGTCGTATCAATTTTTCAAGCACTTGAATACTTTTTCATCATGAGTTGAAGGGATACCCGGAGAATAACTGCAGCAAATTTAACGAAGAGACGACGAGACTCACTTTGATTTTTCTGCGGCTTTTCTGTCCTCGGCGAGACTCTCAGCATCCTTGGCGGCCCTCTCATCGACTCCTTTGTTGCTGTCGCCACCGCGGCCCTGAACCTCGTCAGGAAATGAAAGTTCTTCAAACTTACACATACATAATTCTTTTCTATTGACTAGAAGATTAAAATGTTAGTGCTACAATATGCAAAAGAGGATGATTTTTTTTGCTCAAGCTATGAAGCGACATCTTGCAATGTCATGCAATCTACAAACAACTAACATGAAGCTTATTCAGAATGCAGACTCAGATGTCTACACCACATTTTTTGTAAATTGCCACGCTCTCTGTAAAACGCCTCTGTTATATCTCGTGTAATAAACAGTCAAAACTTGGATTTATCAGATAAGGGCATAAGAGCTACAAAAAATCGAAAGCATTAATTGATAGCTTAAATGCTAGCTGAATGATTGTTATATAAAATCTCTACGTATTATTTTAATCCTAAATATCTTTTTGTCTTCATACAGAAGCACCGAACGTTTCAAAAATTTCGTTCAAAAAACAAAATGCCAATTGTGGCGGAAACACATTTAGTGAAAAGGCACTACGTACAAATTTAAATTCTGAGTGCATAGCATGGAAAGTGCAGCAAATACGAAAGCCGGGGTTTATCTACGCTTGAATCCCATTTAACTTGATACGTAAAGAACATAAGCTAAAAAAAAAGCTGATGCATAAGCCGGTAAACGTCGGTTTTCGGTAAATAAACCACGAAAAATATATTTATCAAATAATTTCAATGATAATTCCAGTTTGCTAATTGTTTGTACTTGTCTTTTTTTTTTGGGGGGGGGGGGTTTAACTGACGAGGGAGCTGACACGAAAACATTTCGTCTCATTAGAAATGGTGAATTTTTTGGCTGTTATCTTTTCTTTTAAATTATTGATCAAAATTCCTTGTTCAACCTATATTTACACGCCAATAAATTAATTAGTATCGCGTCAAAAATGAATTTCCACGAAATCCTTGTCATGGAAAGAGATAACGGCTTGATCACAGTGATGCTGCATTTATTTTAGAAAGCCTTTCAAATTTGAAATAACGCTTAGAAAAGCATGAAATAAATGTTAAGGTCACTGAACACTTTCTTCATGGGCATAAAATTTGAATACAACTCTGAATACAAATATGATCGAGTCTCAGACTTGATCAATATGACTGAACCTTAAGGTATAAAGTCGTAAGTCGTTCAAAGAATAGCCGTACGCAACGTTCAGTTATCAACGACATAATAAACATTGAAGACTTAAATGCATGCGGTTGCCCACCTTGAGCTGAAGTTTGTGGCGCGGCAGCCCAGCAGCGAGCGCCTCCTGATGCTGCAGTCTCTTGCGCTGAAGTTCTGCCTTCAGGCTCACTAGCTGCAAGGGGAGACTAGGATAGAGACATTACTACGAGGTGGCATTTTGTAATTTACAATATCATGCGTTTAATTTTAATCGAGATCACCAGCCGCAGTTGATATTAAATGACATGTTGGACCACGATTTTGGACGTCATTTTCATCTGTGGTTAAGAGACATAACGAAGAACCTCCCTTGATTCTAATACTAAATTTAACGGTTTCAATAGGCATTACTGAATAACAAAAATAAATACAATAATTTTTCATGTACTTTCATTAAAAAATATATCAAGCACTGCAATAGTAAGACAAAATCAGGGCATCATAAGTGCGATGCAAATATTTTCAGTCAAATATTAGTAATCGTAAATGCTGAATCAATAAAAGTCGGAAACAACTTACCGATTCCATATTGAGTGCAAGTATTGCAAGAGGTCAGCAGAATGAGCGCACAGCTCCTGGCATCTCCAGCACGCCACTCGCCCAAATAATATAGGTCTTATTAGAGTAGGAAACAGATATGTCTGTAGGAACCTGATAGTTTGAAGAAGTCTGATAAACATTAATATAAGTTCACAGAAAAATAGTAGTAACAGTTTGAACACTCAAAGAGCTATCGAAATTCAATGCGCAAATCTATATCACAGAATTACCGGAAAGTAACATTACAAAAGAGCACAAACGCAGATTGATTTTTAAATCACTTATTTGATGTGTTGAGAAAAAGCTACTGGATATTATTCAAAAGCATGCGTAGTGGGAAACAAAATTTCTTCGTTAAAATTAGGCGTTATGACATGGGAACTGAGGGAGTGTCAGGCCCTGGAACAAGCTTGGGGCTCGCGGCCCTCAAGCTGAACTTCCCTGCAGTAGAACTTTAAGCTCTAATTGAAATTGCAACAACTCGCACGCACACCAAAATAGCCTCCAACAATCCGCACGCACATCAAAATAGCCTCTAAAAACCTGCACAAGCACCGAAATTGCAGCGCATGTCGATTCCTATCCAAAAATAAATTACATGCTGCCGTTTGTAACCGCACAAAAATTGAAACTAGCAATTAACATTCGCATTCAAATTTCAGACCGCAATCAACATTTTTATGTAAGTGACAAATTGCAATTTGCATATGGAGAAATTTTTTTATGCTCAAATCGTCAAATTATCCATAGTGCAGGCATGAATAACATCACGACAGAATTATATAAATTTCCTAAGCCGGACATAACATACAAAAAAATTTATCATTACTAACAGGAAAACATGATTGTTGCGTGGACAGTAAAGTTGACCGCGCAACACCGGGCTGTGGTCGAGAGGAAAACACAAAACAACATTGATCATATGAAAGTGAGGCTTTATGATACAACTTTTGTTATTTCTGTACAATAACTAAGTCTTATTTCATGTTTAGGATCAGTTTAGCTTGAAAAAAATCGTATAATGATAGGAATTTTTACCGAGTAATTTGTATTTTTGTTACCAATATAGTCTATTTTTAAAAGAAAAAAAAAATAGATTTTCCTTGAGAACATGTTCTCTAGGATAGCTTCACCAATGAACGAAATGCGGGCCGTAACAATCGATGGATTTACCATGAACATCATTCAGACCTACAACCGGCCTTCTAAAAGAAATCGGGATTATCTGCATGAAAAATTGAGCTGCATTCTTCGGCAGTAAACTCTAAGAAACTTTATTAAATAAATAATTCATCAACTCAAAAGTAGGGAAACATCGACAAACATCTTAATTTTTCCAAAGTCTATCGAACAGTGACGGCGAGCTCGGCAGTAGCAGTAGCCGCAATGGCGCGATGAACGACGTTGACTTCTTCCTGCGTGAGCGTCTTCTCCATGTGGCGGTAGACGATGCGGTAGCAGTGCGACGTGCGACCTGTCTTGGGATGCTTGAACTCGTCCACTAGGCTAACCTGCACACACAATTAATGAAGGATAGAACGAATATAAACGAATATAAATTGGGATTTAATGAGACAAAGTCTCAGTTATGACCATTTATAAAGCTCTAACAAACGATTGGAATTTGCGAATTTCATGAAATCGAAAGTCTCAGATAAGTCCATTTATCAAGCAATAACGAATGATTTATTGTTTCAAATCAATGAAACACAGTTGCTAATTCATGACCATTTGCCAAGAAAAAATAAAGACCAGAACGTAGAAATGCAAAAAATCTTATGTCGCATATGATCGGTCGAATTTGTTTTGAATAAGAAAAGAAGGCTACTCCAATAGAGTGGTAGGTAATTCGTTAAAGCGGCTTAAAGGCATAGTTGTTAAGTGACAGACAGTTCCACAAAGTCACAATGTTTGATGAGGTCATGAGGGTATCTATCAAACATCGCATAAATTAGTGGGTTTATTTTGTACTACCTGCTCGACGATGTCGCCGCCGACCTGACGTACGAGGTCGTAGAAGTCGTTAGAGTCGAACGTGGCGGCGCTCGGCAGCCAGAAACTAATGTCGTTGGTGCACTGCGGGTAAGCGCTCACTCTCTGCCAGGAGATTAACACTTTGGTAAATATTGTACGATGAAATGGCATGAAGTAAACAATAGATTTAAAAATGACCCCGATAAATTGTTCACCTAATTCTAGTAATTGTATTTGGACCGTGGGAAAGCTGATTGAGAATAATACACGTTTTCAAAAATCTTGAGGTTCTAGACTAGAGGTATAAATTCTATCGATATGCCAATAGCTAAGCAGACGATAATTGCAACCCCTGAGTTAAGCGAAATTTAAATCGTGAGCTGGAATATTTCTACTAGCAAAAGCACAAAAATAATCATCGGTAATATAAAGCAGCAAGTGTCAATATCCACAGTGTATCAATTAATGACTTAATATAGCATTGGTAGGTGGTAGATAGGTAAGATATCATTGAATAGTTTGGAAGATAATTGTGGTAAGATGACATTGCAAGTTTACCAGTAACCTTGTACTTATAGAGCGTGTTTGAATCTTCAAACTTGAACTGAGACAAGAAGCCGGAGTCGCGGGACCAGAATATTCTGATGTCGGGGATGTCGTACAACTTCATCGCCCAACGCTCCAGTCCCAGGCCGAACGCCCAGCCAACCTTGGCCTTTACTCCCGCTGACGGATGAGATCGGTTACAATGAATAACTATGGTCTTGACGTGTGAAATTATTTCATTATAATGTGGGTAAAACTACTGTTAAATATGATAAAATTAGAATCATGCAATAATTTTATATTTATGCACTCAGAATCCTGCAATAATTCTATATTCATGCACTCATATTAATCTAACAAGGAATAGTTGGCAGAAGTACTTCTTTAACTAATTCGAACTTACCAGTCCTACAAAATAAAAAAACAGAATATTTCAAATAATTGAACTCCTTGCAATGAGTGACAGAAATTTTGTGAAAACAATTCACACTTTGTGTATTCCGAATGAATCAAATCTACTCAAAATATCAGAGTTAAGTTTATAAAAATTAGCACGTATTGTTTATAGACGTACAGAAAAGTAATAATAAGAATAACGCTCTGGACTTCAACAAAACTGGCATTAATTTGATACGTAGAATTGGGTGTCAAAAAATTCTAATATACCGTATATAAGTGCGATTAATGACTAAAGAATACAATTGATTACAATTTTCGGGGAGTTGAAAATTTTTTGGGTGACGTTGGTAGATTAAAAAGGCAGGTTTCAGAAACTTTCACCATCTGTTTAAATTCAATACTCTCGTTGATTCCCAAAATGCAATTTGATCCACGGCATGAGTGAACGGCATGAGAGCATCCAAGCAAGGCAAGAGCATTACAAGAATCAGGGACAGGCCACCGGCCTATTCTTAAACGCCCATATTACTATGTTATGTTATGTATGTTTCTTATGTTCAGTTATGTGCCTTATGTTGTGTTATGTTATGTTATGATATGTTATGTGTGTTATATTGTGTTATGTTATGTTATGATATGTCATGTGTGTTATATTGTGCTATGTTATGTTTTGATATGTCATGTGTGCTATATTGTTTTATGTTATGTTGTGTTACGTTGGGTTATGCTATGTGTCTTATTTTGTATTATGTTGTGTTGTGTTGTATAATGTTATGTTTTGTTGTGAGGGGAGTTGCTGGCATAACTCTCACCTGTCTCTAGTATGCGCTGCTGCACAATGCCACATCCCAGGATCTCCACCCAGCGACCGTCCAGCAGGACCTCGAGCTCCCACGACGGCTGAGTGAAGGGGAAATAGGCGGGCACCCAGCGGCACTGTGTCTCTGTAATCGAATTAAAGCAATACAATCAAGAGGGAAACATAAAACATCCTGTCAAAAGCTTGGACTTAATTCATTGTAAGAAGCCATTACTCATAGAAGACGACTCATCCACAATGATTGAGTGCACACTGTTCACTCTCACCCACTGCTCACTCTCACCCACAGCTCACTCTCACCCACAGCTCACTCTCACCCACAGCTCACTCTCACCCACTGCTCACTCTCACCCACTGCTCACTCTAACCCACAGCTCACTCTCACCCACAGCTCACTCTCACCCACCATACAAGTGCACAAGACTCACTCTCACCCACCATACAAGTGCACAAGACTCACTCTCACCCACAATACAAGTGTGCAAGACTCACTCTCACCCACTGTACAAGTGTGCAAGACTCACTCTCACCCACTGTACAAGTGTGCAAGACTCACTCTCACCCACTGTACAAGTGTGCAAGACTCACTCTCACCCACGGTACAAGTGTGCAAGACTCACTGTCACCCACCATACAAGTGTGCAAGACTCACTCTCCCCGAAGAGCGTCGTGGCCATGGCCTGCAGGCATTGCTGGAGGTCGGTGGTGAGGGCGGCGACGGCCTGGGGCGTGTGCGCGGCCTGGGGGGCGTTGGTGTCCGGGGCGCAGGCCCCCGTGGACGGCAGGCCCGTCAGCACCTGGGGGCGAGGGCCTCCCGTGCCAGCGTCTTCCGGTAACAGCTGAGCGAAGTCATTGAAATGAGGGAGTCCAGCGAAGTCAAATCACGAACATATAATAGAATAGAATAGAATAGAATAGGATAGAGGAGAATGGAAGTGTCAGCATTGAAGAAATAGGCCCATGGCCTGTTGCTGATTCTTGAACTTTTCGTGACTTGATTCACAAGGGATCCGGCCTTTAGAACCCGATCTTTCCATAACATAAATGTTATGCCTTTGACATTTCCACAGAGATGATATAATATAGATATTTTGATGGAGATTTTAAGCTGCTGATGATAATAAGGCAATATTAAATTAATAAATTTCAACTTGACTGAAAACAAACTATCGAATTGCTTAAATTGAAAAAAAAATTAAAAACTAGGAAGGATGCTAAAATTACAGATAGTTCAACACCGCAGATTTTTAGAGTTGTAGTGCAAAATAAAGGAATATGAGATGGTACCTCTTCAGCAGTGTAGAGTTTGACTCCTTCCATCTGATGGAAGACAGGGTAGTGGAAGGCATCGATCTCATCTCGTCTGTACACGTCGCCCACGATCACGAAGTTGTCCAGACCAGACGCCAGCAAGTCTCCCTGCAAACAAATCTTAGTTTCCACCATCCTTTTTCTAAGTCTATAATAGATCTGTAAAAGTTGTGTTAGTAACCCGGTGCTGTTTGGCCATTCTATTCACCGGGTTACTACTATTCGGTTGGCCATATTCATAATACTTATTAAACAGATTATCACCTAAGCTTGAAATTATATCAATATTTGCAGAGTGATTTAATTTTACGTACGATTAAATCACCTTAAAATATGTATGTACAAAAGACATTTCGTTCTGATTTTGTAACAGATGTTATATGTTTGTGAAGCTGTAAGGGTTTTTCTGGTATAACCAATAGTTTAGTTTGAAAACTAGCAAAAGCAATAAGTGAAAGGATTAAGTGAAAGTTAAAGGTAAAAGCTTAAAAAAGTGAAAGGTAAGTGAAAAGTAAAAGCACTAGTGAAAGTATTATATTATATCAGAGAGTATCTTACCCAAACAACGCCGGTGTATGTTACTAGTTTAAAATAACTTATATTTCATCAAACAATCATTAACAGGTGAGCGACATCTGAAGGTAAGTTGCAAGTTATATCCATGCCAGGCAAATATCTGCCGAATATCAAGAAAAAAGTGTATCCCTCTAGATAATTCAGGGAAATTTTTTAATTAAAGAATAATATGATATCTGAATAATAAGAAAGAAAAATATAACTCAGTACTCACAACAGTGAGTGACAGAGAGCGCTTTTTCTCGTCGACGAAAACGTGAAGTCACGGACAGAAGGACGGACATGACAAGCACAATAGCGCCTTTTTTCCATGAGAAAATGCGCTAATAATACAAAATCATAATAGGAACAAAAACGTACCTGATGCGCGCTGGTGTGTGCTCTGAGCAGATGCCGTCTGTTGACGTAATAATTGTCTCTCTTGTTCCTACAGACGTGGTCTGGCGGCACCAGCAGCTGGTCAAAATTTTGCTGCACAGTGACGAGGGGCGGCAAGTCTTCGACCACCGTGAAGACAGGGTTGCCGCGTCTGTTCTGGTACCTCTGGTGCAGGCACTGCAGTAGCCTGGTCTTGGTGTGGTACAGAGGATGGTCTTTCTGGCGGTGCAAAGCTCTCCCGATGTGAGACAGAATCTTGGCATTGACGTTTGTCATTCTATCACGGACGAAATCCTTTCCACAAACTGTTATCTGAGAACAAAATAACAATACGTGTGGGAAAATATAAAAACAATTGGTATTCATATAAGTGAATAAATTAGACTCATCAATCGTCACTTGTTTAAACTGAGGAAAGTGCAATGGCAAATTCGTCAGTGTTTTGGTGGATTTGCAAACGAGTGGATCAACAAACGAGTGGATCAACAGCAAACGAGATATTTCAACAATACATTCTCGATACTCACAGTTTTGTTGGCAGGTTCCCTGCTTGCAGAATAACTTCGTGAGTTACTAACGCACGCAGCAAGTGCGTTGCAACACTGGAGGCGCTGCAGTGACTCGCCTCTGCATGTCCGCAAATTAAATAAAATTTCTCTTCCTTCCTTCGCATGGCTAGACAAGACACAAATGCTTCTGATGACAAAAGTTTCGGGTTGTTTCAAACTTCGAGTAAAAGTAACGCGGCGGAAGAAGTTACAAAGAAAAGTCATGTTGCGTTGCATTTGTTACGCATTCGTTTCATTAGAATTTGCATACATTCTCGGATATAAGATATAAGTTTATAGTGACTAGATAGACGAATGAAAAGCGTTTCACCAAACTTTACGAATTTTCAAATTAAGAAGTCAAATGGTAACATGATCCTGTAAATAATTCCTTCGTTCCATCACTACAGATAATTTTTCTCATATTAAAGGAGTTTCAATACATCAGGTACTATCCTAGGAAACTAGTTAGCAACACATTAGAACTTTTCTTCAGGGCACACGAGGTTTAAATCCGGGTTTTAATTCATCATTAAAACAAAAAAAATCGTTTTGAGCGCTTGCTCGTAAACAGAATTTTAAATCAACCTCTTGCATTTCGATACTCTAACAATATTTAATGCTGTGTAGATCTAAACACCAGAACATCCGTGGTGGAATCAACAAGCATTACAAAAAGTAGGAAAGGACGTTTGGGATGAAAATTTCAGTTTTTTAGCAAATTTAGTAGACAGAATTTTTTCTTGGGAACAAAATAATGTTATACATTGAAGTGGATGTACCAAAAGAATTTCATCTCAAATACGCGTTTCAACGGCGCTTTCTATCTTTATCGGTACCTTAATTTAGAAATTAGCCACGGGATTTGGATTATCTATCCCAAGCAATGCTAGGTTCAACTGCTAGTATTACATGCCAGTTTAAAATTTTTAAAAATATTCAAGGAGAATTTGGTAGAGCACAATAATACGAAGCACAATAATAGTCTGGAAAAACTGTACAGCTTAGCTAAATAAAATATTTGGAAGTTGGAAGCGACTGAGGAGCTACGAAAATAATACAAAAATTACTCTATCATCACTAACTGCTGTCGTTTAGTTTTAATTGTAAGGACAATGAGGAATGTCAACAAAGCTAAACATTATTATTTCCCCAGTAATCAGGAGACCGGAGGACTGGGGAGAAGTGTCCCCTAGTGGGAGGGGTCTCCCACCCCCTGCGGATGCCTCAAATATGAATTACAACATGAATTACAGAAATAACATAACTTCAACATCTCTGTCGGGAAATTCTTAAAGTGAAAGCCATATTTACGTTATTATAAACAGACAAGTTCTATGGCAAGATATTTGATGATGCTAGGTATAATATCCCAGGTTGAGCGTCACGTGGCTTAAACGACCATACACGGAAGTTATTTAAAACTTACAAGGGAATGAGAAAAACGTGATCCTCAAAAGTTTTAATATAAATAAGCTGTACAATGCAGGGGAACCGATTAACATCTATCAAATGGGAATAGATTTGCAGTTTTGCAAAATATTTTCGATGCTACATTTTTCACTTCACTGTAGACACGTAACAGACTTGTTAGGGCAATCGCAAACACTTTAGTTACACATACCACAATACATCTCTTGGGCATACCTAAGCATTTGTGTCACAGTCAAACACAAATGAATTTTCCAAGAAGTGCAGAATAAAATGATATTTTCCTCGGCATATATCGTCACTTTTAAACGGTCAGTGTCACCTTGATGTCGCAATGGCTTTGGTTGAGACAACGTCTTAGTAGCGCTTTATATGATCCTCAGCATGCGGTTGCTGTGTTGGGTGCTGTGGCGGTTGCTGTGGCGGTTGCTGTGGCGGGTGCTGTGTTGGGTGCTGTGGCGGGTGCTGTGGCGGTTGCTGTGGCGGGTGCTGTGGCGGGTGCTGTGGCAGGCTGTGCGTCTCCAGCTACGGAAGCATGCTGTGCACACAGCCAAGTGTCCGGCTGTCTGTATGACACCTGGATAAAAATTACTTCATTTAGTGCTCATCAACTTATTATTTAGTCTCAACTTAATGTAAGAATAACATTACAAATACGGTAACAAATATTAATGCAGGATATAATTAATTCGATCCTGACTTAGCTGAAAATGAATTTCATAGTTCATTGCTGAGCTAAATTAATGAAAGAATTTGCGTCTTGCAAGGGCCTAATACACTTAATACATTAAACTTCAACCCAAGTTGGGTAAGATATAATGAAATATTAACTCGGGGGGGCTCATTTGGCTTAAAAAAAAAGTTTGACCCTAAGCGTAAGGATATAAATATATGTCGCCATTTGTAATGTATCATATATCATATGTTAAATGAATAAATAAAGCTAAATTGCGCATATTTTGCGTTAAATCTCTGACAAACTTTAATAACATCCGTTTTTTTTCTACTAACACTAAAGTAAGATTTATTGTTCATACTTAGTACCTTAGTAGATTTTTTTCTTCATTCTTTTGCCGACAAAACGCAAAAGAAAACCACAAGCAGGAACAATAATTGAGATTATTGCTGATATAAATAAACAATTTAAATTGTCTAATTAGAGCTTTACCTTCAAGTAAAACTCATTGATTAAAAATGCATTGAATTGCAATGCAATTAAAACAGTAACAAATATAATTTAGTTAGAAGTATTCATTAATTATTGGGATTCATTTAAGTGAAATACCTGCAACGAGCCATCATCGTAAGGCAGGTGCCAGATGTGCTCGCCGAGCGTGAGGCGGGACGAGTTGTACTCCATCGGCCGCTGTCATGTCATCAACATTCAGTTATGAAATAATAATGAGAATTGTCCGACTCTTTGATAATTTGAATCAACAAATTCTCTGGTCATTGATCGCACGCGAAGAAATAATAATGCTAAACTGTACGTGTATTAGCAGATTGATTAAACACATAACACATTAAGTATCGAAGTGAGGGCGATCTCTTGCAACATAGATACATCAAAAATCCGTTTTTAAAGCCCCCAATGATATCGAGGATTGAGTATAACAATTCACATCAACAAATTAGCTTGGCAAATGAATCGCATGGTTTGCATACCGTGATAATTTATAACCTATCGATATGAAAGATAGTTCATTCTGTATTAACGTCAGATATAACTCTGGTTTACAGTCGGCAATCTTTCATACAGATAAAAAGGAATATTCAATAGCAATTACGATCAAACAAGCCTTGTTAGATTCTTTGGCAGATAATACAGGAAAACAGTAAAGTGGTTTACAATTTCCCCTCGTAAGAGGATGGTTCGTGGTGAGCCCTGCAAGCCTCACCATGACGACCGGAGGGTCGGACGTGAAGAGAGGAAGCTGAAGGGATTGCTGCGACTGCTGCTGCCACAGACGGAACATTCCCTGCAGCTCTACGCTGTCCAGGGCGTACTGATGCTGCTTCAAGTGAGACCTGCACAGCCAATAGATGTATAAGCATGCAATACCTACGAAAATAGTTATTTCTTTCTCAATCAACAACGAAAATCATCAAATACTTGCAATTACTGAAAATAGTCGAAGCAATGAACGAGTGTTCACTGTTTTGATTTAATAAATCGATGTCTATATTTAATAGGATCAAAACAAACATCATCGCCATTATTGTTAATTTTTACCCGTCAACTTACTGGACATTGCAATACAGGAGCGGCTGTAAACAATTACGAATAATATATCAAGGCGTGGCGAGACGATGACAAAGACTGAGTGCTATTGACTACAAATCAAATACTTCAGACGACTAATAGCAATCGCTGTGAAGATGAATCAACTTTACCTAGTGATGAACTTGCAGTGAGCTCCTGACAACATCGCGGCGTAAAGAAAATACGCGTCATCCTCAGCCCTGTGGGTAAATGATTTTTATTACAATGCTAAATAGTATATAAAAGAATTTAAAGTGTAATCTTATGCACAAATAAGATAATAATGAACTTGCAATTAATAATGAACTATGAACGCAATGAAATCATTCTAGAATTTGCTATTTCATATTAATACAGGAATTGATGTACACTTGGGCAACAATATAGCTGAAGGCAAGTAATTAATATAGCTGAAGGCAAGTAATTAAACAATACAACATAAGAGGGTTCAGAAGCCTGGCAGTGCAACAGCTTGAATAAATTTACCTAAACTTAGATGTTTTAATGTATCAATTTGGCTCGTCTTAAACGTTAAACGATAAATGTTAATTAGATAATCAGGCAGAAATGCATGTTAACGTACGAGGGCTCCCTATGACGGACAGCCAAAATTTTTCACACGAAGCATAAATAAGCAGTTTGTCCAAAATATACAGCAGTAATTTGCATATGAGGCAGCCATAATACCCACGCAGTTTGTCTGTAATATACAGCAGTAATTTGCATATGAGGCAGCCATAATACCCACGCAGTTTGTCTGTAATATACAGCAGTAATTTAGCATATTAGGCAGCCATAATACCCACGCAGTTTGTCTGTAATAGACGGTAGCGAGGTCGGGTAGCTCCTTCATGGCATCTTTGTCCCACTGCTTCATGAACTCCCGACACACGACGAGCAGCTTGGACTTGGGATGAGCGGCTTTGATCTGCTTCACGGCACTCAAGACCTGGTCACAACAAGGAGTCCATATATACCATTCATTATTTATATATCAAAGGCGCGACACACGCAGGCACGCAAGTACTGTAAAGTCCAGAAATGTTCCAGCATTCGAACTCAAGATGTCAAAAAGGAAAAATACTTCCTGATTGCCACTGTTTTTCTGTAATTAGCAGAAACTATGAAGAACTATTTTGAATCGACTAATTGTTTCTATGTAATGAGCAGGAAACCACTTTTTTCTTCTTAGACAATTAAATTTTGATACTTTTTCATGAACGTCCAATGAGGGGTTTAATTTTGTTCAGTATATGAAAATTAGTCTATTTAATTTACGCTGATGCATTTGTTTTGCATCATACAAAACTTGTCCTTTCAATCTTGTTCTCTTTCCTACTTATATTTTTAGTCAAGGACACTAATATAGGTAATGCTAGCCAAAAACCTTTCATGAAAGGCTGGATCGTGCCACATGTACATAAATAGCAATGAGAACAAACCAATCAATTCATAATTGCAATTCTATTAAGTCACAAAAAGCTGGTATGATATAAGAAGTAAAATTTACAAGCAGAGAAAATACGAAAATAATCAAAAGATTTACATAGAACATGTTTTCAGTAATGAAATAAACATTTATCATGGCATTTCTTCAGCTTTTCAATTCTAATTTGTGATGAACACCATGATGGTTAAACTTAATCCCGTTTTAACAATCAAAATAAATAAGAAAGCACAAAACGCACATATTTTGGTGCTTTGATAGGTTCCAGATAAGGATTAGTGAGAAAGCCACTGCCCGCCACACTGGCAGCGTCCATGACGTGCGTGAAGGGCAGCTCTGATGCCAAGAAGGTGTTGAAGCGCTGCCACTCTACAGGTGTGCTCTTGACGTACACCTCGCCTGGCAACACAACTTTCTCCACAAACGCAGTCTGGGTGAAAATTGTGGAGTTTATGAGAGAAAAGATTTTTGGAGTTTATGAGAGTAAAATTTAGCATAAATCTTTGAGAGTGAAAAATATTTCAGGAGCAGCATAGATGGAGAATAGCAAGAAGGAGAACAAAATTTGAAAATTTATTCAGGTAATTGCACAATCATAGAAAAAATAAGGTAGAGAGAAATCAAATATTGGTAGGTACTTTAAAAGAAAAGAAATAACCATCTTGCTAAAATGAAATTATATAGAGATATTAGGGAATAACTAAACTGGCAGATTGAAATGTTGGGGACAGGGAATGATGGACTTACAATTTAGATACAAAAATTATTTAAAATGTTTGCACGAAAGACATAACAGATATTGCACTAGGTAAACTATCTACAATGAGTTTTATTGAGGAAATGTTTACCTCCAATTGTAAATCTAATAACTCAAGAAAAATGTGTAGAACCTATCATTAAATGTAATATGAACTTTTATGAGAATAATCCTAATTTGGAATGTTGCAAACATAAAGTTTAGTTAATTACCTTGAGCAAGTCAAACCATTTGTCTGTGATGATAGACTTCTTCACAACAGCTCCACAGCACTGGCATTCTCCGCTGAAAATACATGAAAAGATTAGCTGAAATATGACAGATATATCCCACTACAGTCTATACAATATACATCATGGATTAAGACCAAGGATGAAATGTAAAAAAAAACTTTATAAATAAGTACAGGTACGTACAAACAATATAAACAATATTAAATGCACAGGAATAAAAAATCTATGGTAAAAAAAATAAAAATGTTATGATGGATAAATTTAAAGTAAAAAAGAGAAAGTATTCATAATCTTTCTGAATAACTGAGCAACGCACCTATGAGCATCAAGAGTAGTCTTTTGGACATTCCATTCTGTGCCAGCTAACGTGTCAATCAGCTGGCTGGCTGATGATGCATCCAAAAGCAGCTGCTGATCTTCAAGTTGGCTTAAAAGTTGACTAACTGCAGCTACACGTTGATGCTAACAGTTTGGGGAGGAATTAAAAGGATTATATCCATGAACATTAAGAAAATTAGAGCTGAGTTTACATGCAAATATAAGTGTACCATATATATATATATATTTAATATCATTCCCATACTACTTACTTTCACTAAATATCATATGCAAAATAATTTAAAATTATGTCAATCATATCAAAATATTTCAATATATATAAATAATATGTGACCATTCACCCAGTTTAAAAATAAACAAGACTAGCACAATATTTACCACATCTAGGTTTTTACAGAGGTCAAAATACTGCTGGTAGTTCTTGGTGAAATTTGTTTGTACTTGATGTGGCTGCTGTTTAATCTCTTTTAATACTTGAGCCAAATTTTCAGACGTGAGATTACAAGCAGATTCTTCTTTTAATTCTTCCTGGAACATTTAGTCAACAATATAGCATATCTATATATAAGCTACGTATATATTTATACTGTATTTCATAAACAAAAATCTTTATCATCAGTTTAGACAAATAAGACAAATTACATTCAAAATATACATATTCCTCTCAAAAACTAAGCCATAAGTAAAAAAAGAATCTGTTACAAGCTGGGCAAGATTTGAAATATTGAACCCAGAAACATTTAGTTATCTAAACTGAAAGACCATAGCAAACTAACAAAAGAGGGGACTTCAAATCTTACCACAGAATTTTCTTGTAATTTCTTGAGTGCTGGATAGGAAGAGGTGTTGATTTTTCTGATAGGAATTAACCTCCAATCTGATTTACAGCAAAATACAAGTGTTCTTGGCAATAATATTGCCACAGCAGCCATTTTTGATTTGATTATTTTACCAGTTTATAAAATAGTTTGCAAAAATAACTCAAACTTCAATTCAATTATCAACAAAAAAAAGGACTTCAAAAATAGTAGCTAATGAACATTGAAGAACAATTTTATAAATTCAAACTAGTGGCTTTTGAATTTAATCACAGGACCTATAATCTGAAGGTTTAGGGAAGAAAAGCAATGAGTTTAAGAGTTAAAATATGTGCAATGCAATGAAAACATGCAATGCAATGAAAACAAACTCTCAAGGACAAATCCATCTTGATAAATCCATTACTCCATAGTCCATCATCTAGATTCACCCAAATTCTTAGAAATATGTAGGTGAACTAACATATTATATAATGATCTAAGATGCCATTTCAATATTTCCATCTTCCCTTAATAAACTTTTAAATGTGAAAATATTTGGTGATTGTCTGGACCATGCAGGGTTGGGCTATGTTGGGACACCGGACAAGGCTGACTGCATGGGAGCCTGGGAGGTTGAAAGTATAAGGTCAGATTTGCATGAATGAAATCTCAAGAAACATTTTTCAAGTGTGATCCAAAAGAGACATGCAGAATTTGTTCAAAATGATCTTTTTACTTTTTCATTTGCATGAGTGACTAACTTCCAGAAATTGACGGTTCAAATATTTCCATAGAATATTACCAGGAAAAATGACAAGGCATGTGTGCAGAAATTAAGCCTGATAGCTGGACCAGACACTTAGGATAACAGGATGTGTAAGAAGTGATGGTATGGGACTATGGGACTATAGGTTATAAAGCATTGGAGAACAACGTATTGATTTGACCATTAACTATGTGCATAGGCCTACTTAGTCTATGTGGGTGGAGTAGCAGCTTGTGTGCTGAAGCAGTGTTGGTTTAAACTTTAAAGTTCGTGTTGTGAGATAGGTCAATTGACTACAGCTGCTTAGGTGCCAGGATGACAATATCTATAGCATTTAGATGGCGAAGGTGGCTCCAGGGCTGATTTGAGCGTTAATTTGCTGGTCTACAGCTGCGCACCTTTTTAGCAATCCATATACTGTTATTGTTAGTAGGCTAATACGCTAATTGCAACATAAAAAATAACATTTAAAAAAGACAAAAAGCTGAAAAAATCGTTGATTTTTTTTAATAAAGAAATCATAACCTTGGAGTTGGAGGCTTGGAAGTTGGTCAGCCCACAGGAAAGTAGCTAGTCTGATATAAATAGCCTAGTATGGCCCAGCATCGTCTGGCGACGCCGCGACTGGCGTCTGCCAATGCGCGAAATAAATTACACTACCCGGCGGACGGAGCGCGCCGGAGCCGTCCGTATCTTCAACCATGGTCCGTATCTGTCGAATCAGCCGAGGGCGCAGCCGTGCACCACCAATTTTGTGCACCAATAAGCCTTGAAAAGTTGAATTGAATGCCTTGGATCTCTCCAGACATCCACCAATCAACCGTGAACCCCTCGGCTTTGTCCTCCTGCGGCCTGGCATAAAACTTGCCGTGCATCACCAGGCCGTGGATCGAATATGACTTCCGGTCATCGTTAAATTACGTAATTTTTCGTTCGCCGCATCTGAGCCTTCTGAGGTTAGGTTTCAGATAGCATAGTTCTGTTCCAAAATTTATCGTCCTTCGACGAGTGGCCGTTTGACTGAGGGCTGATTCGACGCACGTCCTAGATATGATTGTCCAGAAGTGTTGACGGCTACATTCCGGAAGGCAGGAATCACTATGGTCCATTACATCCAGTTCAGTGGTGGTTGTCGGCAGATGACCCGTGACCGTCTGGTGGTGCACGGCAGGATGCATGCAGTTCCGCTAGCGAGCTGGGCTGGTTGGTCGCAGTCCGTTGTCCGCAATTTACAGTTCGAGCTAAAGTCAGGGTATGAAGTGATGGGTCGCCTGCCGAAGACCACCACTGCCTTGGATGTAATGGACCATCATGATTCCTGCCTTCCGGAACGTAGCCTTCAACACTTCCGTATCTAGGCCATGGGTCGAACCAGCCCTCGGTCGAACGGCCACTTGTCGAAGGACGATCAATTTTGAAACAGAACTATGCTATCTGAAACCTAACCTCAGATGCGGTGATCGTAAAATTGCGTAATTTAACGATGCCTGAAAGTCATATTCGGTCCGCGGCCTGGTGGTGCACGACAGGTGGTGGTCAAGGCCGGAAGAGGACAAAGCAGAGTGGTGCACGGCTGATTGATGTAGGGCCGGAGAGATCCAAGGCGTTCGATTCAGGGCTTATTGGTGCACAAAATTGGTGGTGCACGGCTGCGCTCCCTGAAGTGATGATTCGATGCAAAGTTCAGTGGTGGGCAACCATTACTCTCTGAGCTATTCGCTTCAGAATATGGTGGCGTACAGCTCCTAATATTTAAAGCAAGATGATGTCATGGGCTGGTAACTGACGGATGCCTTCATCTGCGCCTGATTGGTGGTCATCCGGAAATATGCTAAGCATTCCTACCAAGGCTGATTGGTGCAGGTTTACGGTGATCCGGCGTGGTCTACGGCCAGTAAGGCTTACGGCGTGTGTAAGAAGTGATAGTATGGGGTAAAATTCTGTGGAGTAGGACCTGTTGACAATTGATTTTTATTCAGCAGGCTGTGGAGTGAGGTAGGTGTTGCTTAAAGTTGGTGTGGGGAGATGACTCAGTTACCTACAGCTTTTTGGGTGTGAGCTGAGTTTAGTTTTTGCATTATAGGGTAGGCGTTGGCGCCAGGGCTTGTTTACGAGCTAAATTTGTGGTGCAGGGCTGCGCTCCCGTAGCATAGCATAGCATAGTTCTGTTCCAAAATTTATTGTCGTACGATGCATGACCATTCGACCGTGGGCTGATTCGACACACGGGACAGATACGGACGGCTCCGGCGCGCTCCGTCCGGGTGGTGTAAAATTTTTTCGCGTGTTGGCCGACGACGCTGGGCCATACGACGCCAGGCTTATTTTTCTGTGGGCTGATTGATCTAATTCAACGGATGTGATCTGTCTGGTGGCGTGCGGCTGATAATGTTACAGTCAAGATGTGTTGTAGGCTACGTTCTTCAGGGAAGGGATCATGATATTCCATTCGAAGCACGGCAGTGGTGGTCTCCGACAGGCGTCCCCAGGATAGCATAAGCCTAAGTAGGAAGCTGGGTCCGGATTATCAAGACACCATAAGTGACTTACGTTAAGTAGTGTTAAGTAGACGTGGATTTAAACGGTGGTATTATCAAAACATTTTCATGGTTTTAATATTTAAATTTTAATTTTAATATTTAAGTTTTTATATAATATTTAAACCATTATTTAACGGTTCTTAATGGTGGATATCCGGCTCAAGTGTGATTTAATTCGAGTTTCTCCTTCATGCAAAATTTTTATTGTCAGGTGGTCGGTTCTGTGACCACCTGATGGATTTGTAACTGAGAGTCAGGGTACTCTATTGTACCAAGTAGGACTAAGGCAGGACAAGTGAAACACATGGTAACACTAGATCTATTATAATAATAAGCTGGCTCGGTGAGTACAGAAGGACGGGGATTGACAGGTACAGCACAAGGGATTGTGCCGGAGGAGCGGCTAGTATGATGACGGCTAGGCAGTACCGCTACAACTGACGGGCGTTGCACTGCTCGGGCTATATATAGTCCTTAACAGGGATGACGCCACTGAGCGTGACTCTACCGTGTGGGTATAGAACAAGAACTTCTAGAATTCTAGAACTTCTAGTCAATTCTTCTAGTGTACGAGACTACACTGACTTCTAGTCAATTCTTCTAGTGTACGAGACTACACTGACTTCTAGTCAATTCTTCTAGTGTACGAGACTACCCTGACTTCTATAGTCAATGGGAGATCATTAACTTTTATTCTTTTGATGTTGACTTCTCGCAGTGACACATCGACAGTCACGGTAAAGTATCTCTAGAAAATACGAAAATAATTTTGTTATTGTATTTTTTCTGTCAAGTGGTATTGAAACGCATGTTATAAGACCCGCATGATCGATTTTTTACCTTTTTATTTTACGCTCTGCGTTTTTTGAGAAACAAAATAGTTTGCTTTTAAAATTAGGTATATTAAATGAATGCTATATTGCTGAAAAATTCGATCTGCTCATGTCAAAAGAGAATCTAGTTCAGAGTGTGTAGCAGTGAGCTACTAATGATTGCTCACTAGGTTAATGCTAGTAACCTGTTGCCCGCAGTGTGAATGCTAATGATTTACGACAGCAACCCAAACTGTGCAGAAAGCCTAACAAAATTTTATTCATCTCGCTTAATTTTTGTAAAATTAACGTTTTTTTACTCTTCTTAAAAAATTTGACTGTGACAGGAATGACATTGAGGCGGTCATAAAGTTTGGTTGTATTAAGATTGTATAATCAAAACTTCTTTGTAAAATCTACTTTTGGAAAGCACGAAAGTTTCAGTTGTGCCAAATTTTCATGATATTTCATGATATTTATTTTTATTTTTTTCATGATATTTATTTCAAACATGATAAAATCTTTCCATCTTTCATCGTTTTTAAGATTGCCCGAATGACATTTTTATTCAATTTAAACGAATATCACGAATATGACGTAACATCCGAAGTGTATCGCATCTCGTAAAGAATTAACGCAATTACCATCTACATTTATTTATCCTTTCAATCCAGTCTGGCTAAGACTATTGACGGAGACAGATGTCACCTTGCGGCTGAAATGTGTAGAAAATATAACTCAGTACTCACTGCAGTGAGTGACAAAGAGCGCATTTTCTCGTCGACGAAAACTTGAGGTCACGGACGGACGGACAGACGGACGGACGGACAGACAGACAGACGGACATGGCGAGTACAATAGTGCATTTTTTCCATAAATGAGAAAATGCGCTAAAAAATGCTAATGGTTACGTAGAGGGCGTGGTCGGCAGGACACGCTGCCAGTCAAGTCTTGGGTTGCATCTCGCTCGTTTATACGCAAAAAACAGCTCGGTGGTAAAACGCATGACGTCTCGGCAAATTGAAATGAAAGTGGTGGAAGTTCTTCAGTTTTGTCAGCGAAATATCACTAAACCCATCCTTCCATCCCATTTTTGGCCTTGGTCATCCGTTCATCCTAACGTGGCAATAATGACTCCTTCTAACGGTGTGACTAATCTCAGACGTTATGAATAATCTCA